TGAATATAAATATCACTACTACTCCGCTAGAAATCTTGCGTCTGCGCAGTCGGACTGTAAACAGTTCCTAAACTAGTTTTTTCACAATACATTCCGTACAGATCTTCAGGAGAAACTGAGAAATACGCAGGGGCGACAAACAGACTTTCTTCACGCAGCATGGCTCGCGTAACAGTATTAAACCAATTGCTTGAGACTAAAATATGATTTATTTTTGCAAAGATGAGTGTATTAAACCAATTGCTTGAGACTAAAATATGATTTATTTGTGCAAAGATGAGTGTATTAAACCAATTGCTTGAGACTAAAATATGATTTATTTGTGCAAAGATGAGTGTATTAAACCAATTGCTTGAGATTAAAATATGATTTATTTGTGCAGAGATGAGTGTATAAAACCAATTACTTGAGTCTAAAATATGATTTATTTGTGCAGAGATGAGTGTATAAAACTAATTGCTTGAGATTAAAATATGATATATTTGTGCAGAGATGAGTGTATAAAACCAATTGCTTGAGATTAAAATATGATATATTTGTGCTAAGATGAGTGTATAAAACCAATTGCTTGAGATTAAACTATGATTTATTTGTGCAGAGATGAGTGTATGAAACCAATTGCTTGAGATTAAAATATGATTTATTTGTGCAGAGATGAGTGTATAAAACCAATTACTTGAGTCTAAAATATGATTTATTTGTGCAGAGATGAGTGTATAAAACTAATTGCTTGAGATTAAAATATGATATATTTGTGCAGAGATGAGTGAATAAAACCAATTGCTTGAGATTAAAATATGATTTATTTGTGCAGAGATGAGTGTATTAAACTAATTGCAGAGGGTATAAACAAGGTAAATTTATAAACATTTTTGGATTCTGTGTGAATTCACAAAAACCTGCAAACCTTCAAATAAGCCTGAATAAAACAAAAGCAAAAGGGCAATCCGTTGCATTTTTTACACTAAATTTTAGAGCTTATATTATTTCAATATGTCATACTTTTTTGTTGACCAAAAAAATCTTGATTGCTTAAAGACTAATCTAATAGGATACCAAACTCTAGTTTACTTAAATTTTCTATTAACGATTACTGGAATGAGATATTATCATTTAATTCCAGGCTCTCGCTGCCACCTCTGGTGTAAAGGTTGTGCTGGAGAACATGTCTTGCCAGGGGAACACTATCGGTGGTGATTTCAACGAGATCAGGTGGGTTTATAAATTTTTCCGAGAAGTTTCCAAGATAGGTTCTAGAAAATCAGAGTTTGAGGCGGTTAGTCAGTTTCTTTTTCAATCAAAATGTAAAATTTGACAAATTTATAAATTTTTTACGTTGAAAAGAAATCAGAGTTTTAAAATGGTAAAAGGTGGAGTAGTGAATAGTTCTTGTTTTTAGGAGTATAATGGATTTTGTTGAGAAAAAGTCTAGGATTGGAGTCTGTATTGACACTTGTCATGGTAGTGAATAGTTCTTGTATTTAGGAGTATAATGGATTTAGTTGAGGATAAATCTAGGATTGGAGTCTGTATTGACACTTGTCATGGTAGTGAATAGTTCTTGTATTTAGGAGTATAATGGATTTAGTTGAGGATAAATCTAGGATTGGAGTCTGTATTGACACTTGCCACGCCATGGCTGCAGGATTTGATCTCAGTACACAGGTTTATTAAACAAATATTAATATTTCATCTGAGATCGGAACGGTTGTAACAGAAACTAAGAAGAAACTTATAAGAAAATAAGTGAAAATCAGCTGAATCGTATTTTTGCGGTTATTCTTTGTCAGAGAGCAAATTTTTGTTGATTCTGATTTTTCGAACCTTTTCTTAACTGAACTAATGCCATTCGTCGAACTTCTAAATATTGATTACTGATTACTGGGAGATTACCAACACATAAGTTCCAAAATCCGAAAACTATTTAAAAAAATTTTAATGTTAGTAAAACTATCACCGCCCCCCCCCCTTCTCATCCATTTTTCTTATTTAATTTTAATTAAATCTTGCCCCGTTAAAGAGCGTACACCATGAGGTCGCAAAGATATTGTGTTAGAAAACAAAAATTGGCCAAATAGATAATCAAGTACAATAGGTGGCAACAGAGAATTGGACCAATTAACTTGACGTCACAAGTGTCAAATATAACAAGGAAAACAACATTTTCTCCCATCAGTTGACATGTTTTCCAACATCAATAAATAAGTGTAAAAACAGAAATAAGATAATCACTCTATTATCACTATTATTAATTATTATGTAGGACACATATACCTGTTGACACTTGTGACGTAATAATACAGCTGTACTGAGAGTGTACAAATTCTACGTTGCCATCTTTTTGTACGTGATAATCTATTTGAGAGTTGGCGAGTATTTAATTTCGAGAATAGAACACAACTTGAAGACGTTTCTAGGCCGGTTTTGATGGCATGATTGATGATTTTGAGAGAATTATTGGGTTCGAATGGTTGGTTGCTCTCCATTTAAATGATTCAAAGGTAAACATTATGCTAAAATTTTACATTTCAAAGATTTCAGATTTCTATAAAATATTTTTCTTCTAGGGTGAAGCAGGATGCCACTTGGATCGACATGAAACAATAGGGAAAGGGAAAATAGGCGTAGAAGGGTTTAAAAGAATAATGAATTGTAAACACTTTACAGGTACATTTCTATAAGGTTTAAAATTTGTAAAACATATAGACATATATATTTTTGGAAATTATAAGATTTTAAAACTATTAATGAAAAATATGAATTAACTTGCACTAAGAGCAGTAAAATGCTCTAAAATAACAATTTTCTATTTATTTATTTTATTTCTTCGATTTTTTTACCACAGCTGGGAACTTTTGAATGGTTTATATCAGAATAAATGCTTGATCCACTCTTAACCTCAAGATCAAATAATGCTTGTTCCCCTAATGTTATTAATCTCCAGATTAATTAACTGATCGGGATTAAGGATATACCATTCTAAAGTTTTGAATTCTGGTCTCAAAAAAGTTTGATCGATAAATTTCAGTAAAACCGGCTTAATTCTACAAATGGAGGTTTCATCCTTAAAAACATTAAAATATACTATTTCAGATATTCCGATGGTTCTAGAAACTCCATTCAATGACGGGAATCAATCATATACCAAGGAGATTAAACTTCTTAACAGCCTGTCAATCACAAGTCAAACTTCTTAACAACCTGTCAATCACAAGTCAATAAATAGACTGGGATTCCCCGCAGTACTTAGGATCCTTTTAATTTTGATGCGGATCCGGATTCTAGATCCGCACGGGAGAAAATGGATCCAGATTAAATAATTTTTTGAATTGAAAACGAATTTTTAAATCCTAAAACCATTCAGAAATTATGAAATTTTTATAATATTCCGTTTTTCAAAAGTTCAGATTTAGGGTTCAGGAGTACAAAAGTTTTTTTTTGCTGTTGATATTTACCCCTTGGATTCGGATCAGTGGATCCGCATTTTTTTCCGGATCCAGGAAGCCAAATCTTGCGGATCCTAAGCACTAATATTAACAAATAATCTTTGATCACATCTAATAACTAAATTCTGATCTATATCTATATCTAAATTATTGTGCAGACATTTTTGTTTTAAAGAACATCAAGTGTAAAGCAAACATTAAAATGGTTGTTATTAGGTAAAAATGTTGCAAGTCACAGTAAATTTAATTTTATATCTATGACACAAAATAACTTTTTTTAAAAATCGATTCCTGGTATAAAATATTATTTTTGCAGATAAAAATGGATGCGTACAACGCAGATGTGCGTGAAGCGTGTAAATATGGCAGTAAGTGCTATCAGACAAATCCAGCTCATACTGATAGATTCAAACATCCGCCTAAAACTGAAGGTAAATTTAACAAACTTCATATTGAATTTCTTAATAAGAAATTTTGAATTAACAATCCCGTTTTTAGAGAAAAACAGAGGATATGTTTGTGATAACGGTCTAATTCAATTAGCTAATTCAATTGATTCTCAATTTTTTTTAATAGTATTTTCTGTCCACAGATTCTTAATCCTTCTAAGATATTGATATATATATAGTATCAAACCAAGCTTTGCCCTCCATCTTTGGGCTTAGATTTTCTTTGATAGTTGAAGAGCAGAAGGAGAACAGGGATTCTAACAAGCGAGCACTCAGTGAAGATTCTCCACCCCCTGTTAACAAGAAAACAAAGAGAGCCAGGTATTTCAAGACCAGAGGCCGAGTTTTAATAAGTTCAACTGTGTCGCTGAATGAGCCACCAAAAACCGGTTCCAATTGAGCGCCGACTTCATTCTTGAAACACGTGATAGAGCGAAAAACATGGTCTCAGTGGAACCAACCATGTTTGAGCTGTGTCTCAAATTTTAGACGCTGATCAAATTCTCAAAATTCGGCCTCCAGGCTGGAAAAACCAGATGCAAAAGTAAATTAAAACTCCATCTTGCACGAGGGAAGAAATCCTTAATTGTTATGATTTGATCTGATAAAAAATATTAATACATTTTTAGTTCTTTTGGAGTTTCGAGAATTATCACCAGTTTTGGGTGATATCAATCAATTAAGGATTTGATATGATGTTTAGTTCTAATTTACGTTATCCAAATAAAACTATTCTTACCTGACTTTAATATACAATTTTCTAGGAAAGTCCTTGGTTAACATTTTTATAGTAAACCTCCTTTGATAGAACTGATTACTGATTAGGTGCCTCGTAATTTTCTTCTCTTTATATCTTCACAATTTGATGTTTCTCATCCTAATGATTATTTTCAATTCTAATTCAAGAATTTGTTTAAGTCAGGAGAAAGTGGTCTCTTCAGGAGTTGTTGACGAGAAGCAGGAAGTTGAAGAAGAAAAGGAAGCTGAAGAAGAGAAGGAAGCTGAAGAAGAGAAGGAAGCTGAGGTGAAGGAGAAGGAGGAGGTTAAAGAGTACTCTGATATTCTGCCTGCATCTCCTGAGAATATTCATGAGAACATGAAGCAGAAGTTTCTGATGGACCTGCCCAGAGACTTCTACCAATTCTTTGAGTTTTGCAAGGTCAGCCTCCACTTCTTTTTTTATTAAACTGATCAAAATGTAAAATGAAAGAATTCCTTTTATTTATTCTCAGACATTTTTTCATGTTCAAAATCTTCCGAAAAAAAATTAAAAAATTTAAGAGGGGGGGGGGATGATTCTTTAAAATTTATATCCTAGGACCAAAATAAATGATTTTGAACCAGCAGTGGCTAGTTTGACGGGAATATTATAAATAAAAGTTGAATTATTTAAATTTGTTCAGGGTTTGAACAAAGACGACCCCTGCTCTGCGCTAGCTGGTGCTGGACTTAAACTTTGTGGTCCATACCACCTACTAGGTAGGTATTCTAGTATAACAGGGGATGTATACTGTATATTTTCCTAAAAATTCATTCTCCCCCTTTAAGAAAATCAATTTTTCCACCCTGAAGTTATATACTGTTGTGCAGAGCTCAACATTTTTTAGGGTTTTTTTTCGATGAAATGGTGAAAATAAATGATTTTTCGGAAAAATAAATAAGTTTTTGAGTAAAAAAGTATTAAAAAGAATAAGCAAATTATGAAGTCCTTCTTTATTTTTCTTCAACGTTACTTAATTTCTTTTACTTTATTAAGCTTTTAAGCATGTTTCTTTTCATTTTCCTCCGCTAACACGTGACCCGTTAACCTTCCCCAACACAACGCAAGTTACACACCTCTGGTATCTGCTCCGGCCGAGAAAGTTCTCCTAGTCCTGCCCAGGCAAAGGTAACCTGGCCACTTGATAGGAACACAGGAAGCAAGGAGGAGAGGAGCCGCCTGGTCTGGTACAAGCAGAAGAAGCTCAAACACGCACAGGACCGGCCACAGAAGAAAGAGAGAGAATCGAAGGATCCAGGGAAAGCAGGATCCAGAAGTAATACAGTAATAACGCAGGAAGGCCTTCAGGATCTTCTTGGCATATATCTGGAATAAGGACACCGCTAGAGATAAGGCATAAAAGAGATAGGAAAACAATGGACAAGATAAAGATCACAATAGTATAAAGACTAGCGGTGCCATCCTGGAGGTGAAGAAAGAGGACAAGAGAACAACTACGATGAGAACCTAGATATAGGATCTCTGAGTGGGGTGGCGCAACATCTCTACGTTTAACTCATGAAAATTGAGTATATATATAAACTAGCGGATTATTTTTCATCTTATGGTTGATTTTCTAAAATTTCCATTTTCTCCATTATTATCGTAAAACTTTTTTTCTTGATTTATTGATAAAATGATAAATATTTTAGCGGGAAAGATCCCGAAGGACTGCGTAAGATCAAGTTCGTTGTATCTGCGTCACTACCGATACTACTATGATCCCCCAGAGTTCCAAACCGTTATTGCGTCAGCTGAACCAGACCCAGCACTCTTCCATATTGGATATTTCAGGTATAATTTTTTTAAGAAATAGTCCCCGCGCATTAGATAAATTTAAAACAAATAAAAGGTTATGTAGCAAATCCAAATATCCAAACTGCTTCAAAACTAAATTAGTCCCCAGGAGGCCCCTGTGACATGTATTCCTATATAATAATACAGGGGCCGTAGGTTCCTAAAATTTCCTGCATTCTAGGGATATTCCTCTGATAATACATGGGAGGGTTCTAAATTATCTGTATTCTAGGGATAGTCCCCGGGAGGCTCCTGTATTCCTCTGATAATACATGGGAGGGTTCTAAAGTATCTGTATTCTAGGTATAGTCTCCGAGAGGCTCCTGTATTCTTCTGATAATACATGGGAGGGTTCTAAAGTATCCTGTATTCCTCTGATAATACATGGGAGGGTTCTAAAGTATCCTGTATTCCTCTGATAATACATGGGAGGGTTCTAAAGTATCTGTATTCTAGGTATAGTCTCCGAGAGGCTCCTGTATTCTTCTGATAATACATGGGAGGGTTCTAAAATATCTGTATTCTAGGGATAGTCCCAAGGAGGCTCCTGTATTCCTCTGTTAATACATGGGAGGGTTCTAAAGTATCCTGTATTCCTCTGATATTACATGGAATGGTTCTAAAGTATCCTGTATTCTAGATATAGTTCCCAGGAGGCCCATGTATTCCTCTGATAATACATGGGAGGGTTCTGAAGTATCCTGTATTCTAGGGATAGTCCCAAGGAGGCCCCTGTATTCTTCTGATAATACATGGGAGGGTTCTAAAGTATCCTGTATTCCTCTGATAATACATGGGAGGGTTCTAAAGTATCCTGTATTCTAGATATAGTCCCAGGAGGCCCTGTATTCCTTACATGGGAGGGTTCTAAAGTATCCTGTATTCCTCTGATAATACATGGGAGGGTTCTAAAGTATCCTGTATTCTAGGGATAGTCCCAAGGAGGCCCCTGTATTCCTGGCCTCTAATTGTGCTGGGGAAGGTCCTAAAATAATTCCTCTCGCGGACAATATATTTGGAGCAGTTTACCAACATCTTGCAAAGGTAAAAACGCTTGTTTAAATTCATTTCGTTAATTTTACTTATTTTTTTTAAAGAAGTCCTATATTTTATTGATTAGAAAATGAGTGAGGCTGACCCATTTACGCGAACGAGGCTAGGTCAGCTTCAAGAGAAAATCAAACTGTTCGCGAACCGGTCTATTATCAATGGGGATGCAAACGAGATCAGGTATTTAATCATCTGAAACAATAAAGAATGGTCGGATATGCATCCAATCAATCAATCAATCAATCTTCATGATTGAAATCATCTAAAAAAGAAACTTTAAAAAGATAGAATTTACGAGGAAAGATATTTCATATTGCCTAGGCTTAATCTTGAATGGTCCTACAAGCGTGCTATCCTCGACATATCACTTAAATCTGATTGTTTCGTAATATCTAAAAATATGATTTTTTTAATGCAGGCCGCAGGGGTAATGTTTCCCCGTTTTTTCAAACTTTTTTGCTTACAAAAATATCAAATTTTCCAGATTCTTAAACAAAACAAAAAATAGATTAAAAAATAATAAGTGAGTGAAGAAATTATTTGCTTGTTAAAAAATAGTATTTCTATTTGCCAGCCTCGAAGGAAAGACTGCGTGTATGAAGCTAAGAGACAGGAGGAAGGTTTGCCAAACTTTCCACGGAGCAGGACTTGTAGTTCCATACAATAAGGATACGGAGGTGAACAGGGGAGGGGGGACAAGGGGGGGAGATCATTGAAAAGAGGGGAGATAATTGAAAAGAGGGGGGGAGGAGGAGAAAGAATAATGACAAGTGGAACCATTTTTTAATGACATTTTCTCTAAATTACGGTCAACGTAATTTTGAGTGGCCCAGGGACCGGCCCGGCTCTCAACTTTAGAGTTACATATCTGACTTAACGGTCAATTTTCAGCTCATTAAAACTGCAGTGAAAAGGGACGTTTACAAATGATTATTATGTTAAATTTCCTTCTTATTTCCTGCTGCTTTAATCTACAAATCACTTTTAAGGAGAAACCACCATTCAATATAATCAGTTTCCAGACAGAAAAACAAAAATATCTTTGTAAATTTTTGCAATTGCTCTGACCCGTTGTGAATCCGACAAGCAACTCTTCGAATGGAGGGTTATATGAATTTACGTTAAAGTTTCTTCTTGGTTTTAGATAAATTACAAGCTAGCCAAATCGACCCAAAACAATTACTTTCTCAAAATGATGTTAAAAGAGATTAAAAAATGTTACAATATAGTGTCTTATTCCTCTCATGAACCATTAAGCTAGATGAGCTCGTCTTCCGGCAAGTATTGGCCATTTCTTAACAAAACTTTACGACAATTAACAAAATTTATTGATCTATCTATTTATCCAGGTTGGATACCGTGAGATCCCTGAGACTGCGGCCTCTCTCAAGAAGATCTTTAAGAAGGTGGTGGAGGCTGAGTCGGAGGAGGAGAGGAACAAAGCCCTTGATGTAGTTCAGGCAGGGGTCCATCTTATACGATCCCAAATGTTGATTGATTGATATTAGAGGCAGAAATTAACCATGTTGTTTTTGTGAACAATTCAAAGTTTGATGTCAATTTGTAGAAAACAATCCATACTGCAGAATGTATATTGTGTTCTGCAAGAGAGTGTTTACTTTTCTGAATATCATAATGTATCTCTTATATTAATCACTGATATTTACATCTTTAAACACGAACACGGAAAACTTGCCAAAGTTCAAAATGACACAGAAAGTGTACTTTCATGCCCCTGAATGTACTTTTAACCCCGATCCCATTTTGGATCAGAAATGGAATGATATGAACCCCTGTGTTCAGGAGCTGGTTACTAATGTTCAGTTCGCAAATGATGAAGGGGATCCAGGAATGGGATTAGAGCTAGGACTCAACGCTTTTGCTTTCGGCGGTAATAAAGGGTTTATTATTGCAATAATTTATACAGGGGTTTTCACAAAGGATGAGACTGTAAAGTGTAAAGACGATATGAAAATTATAAAACATTAAGATTCCAAGCTTATATAAAGTCTTCTGTCTTGAATATAGGCTTTGAACGGCTTGTTAAATGATTTGATAAAGAAAGAAACGAAGTTTACAGTTGCAAAGAACCATGAATATAAGAAATAGACAGTATATAAATTCTGTACAATCGTCTCTGAAGTCTCACTCTGTGTAGGCAACCCTGTAGTTTTACGTTGATTAAAAGTCGGGTTTAATAGAAAGATTGACGAAATTGTTAATTAATATATTTCTAAATTGTTATTTTATTAATTTGTTTTATGAATGATTGAATAAATTCATAAACAATTCCATTTCTTTTTTCTTAATATTAATTCAGTTTTTTGATTGATTGATTAATCTCTAGGATCTGAACTACACACTATTATCAAGCACCTTCTCTGTGTTGGATATGAACTGCTGGACCGGGACGAGTTCGGGACGATACTCCAGGCCCACCTGGAGAACAGGGTGAAGGGACCTGATGTTGACATGTTTAATGTAACAAATACGAACTAGAGTTTAGATTTAACTGTTCTATTGTACAGTGTACACCATTAAACTGTTCTATTGTACACTGTACACCATTTAACAGTTCTATTGTACACTGTACACCATTTAACTGTTCTATTGTACACTGTACACCATTTAAGTTCTATTGTACACTGTACACCATTTAACTGTTCTATTGTACACTGTACACCATTTAAATGTTCTATTGTACACTGTACACCATCTAACTGTTCTATTGTACACTGTACACCATTTACTGTTCTACTGTACACTGCACACCATTTAACATTTTTAGCAAAACCACACATTATTTTGTTCGTTTTGCTGCACAGCATCCAACCCACCTACATAATTGTTTATCATATTCATCAATTATGGACGTTAACACAATATCATCATCATCTCATCATCATCATTGTCAATCATGCTCTACGTAGTTCACATAACTCATCATCAATTGATCATCTATATTTTATTTTACTGTTTAACATATATAAGTTGCATCATCATAATATTAATCATCATTCCATTTTGTTAACGCGACCTTTTTAAAAAATAAATGTATATTGTTGTTAAAAAATAACATTTTAATGAAATTAACGATGTGATAGTATTGTGAAAATAAGTTGAAAATTCTAACATTTACAGATATAATGACAGTTGACTGTGACAGTTTACTCTCTAACCCTCTGTCTTCATCTGTGAGGTATCTATAAATATAAAGTAGTAATATTTGTTTGACTTGGTGTCTGTTTGTTTGTTTGTTCGTATGCCCAATAATAAATTGTGAATCCTTGACCTATTTGCCTCAAATTTTGATAGGGATGTCTAGTATGTATATACACCATGAAGCCGTTTAAAGCGTCTTGTGCTACCTTTTCCAGAACTTTAGCTATTACTATTACTTTTCAGGTTAAAATTCGTGGATTTTAAAAAATAATAAATATCGACATTTTTCCTTGCGAAGTTTGTCAAATTTGACCATTTTCCTCAAATTTTGATAGGGGAGCTCGGTACAACCAGAAAAATGTTCTTAGTTTGGTTTAAACACTCTTAGCAGAATGTTATGACTTATTCAGAGAATGTTCTTAGTTTGGTTTAAACACTCTTAGTTGAATGTTATGACTTATTCAGAGAATGTTCTTAGTTTGGTTTAAACACTCTTAGTTGAATGTTATGACTTATTCAGAGAATGGTTAGTGTCCCTGCAAAGCCAGATTCCTATTTCCAAGCTAGTGAATTTGCCTGACAAATATTTTGCTCGTTATGACAGGAAAATATAAACAAAGCCTTTAATATTTTGTTCAAAATTTATCTAAATTACAATATTATTCAATAAATTTTTTAATTCAATTTTATTGAAATGGGGAAAATAAATGATTTTTAGGGAAAAATATACAAATTTTAGGGTAAAAGTATGAAAAAGCATAAATTTTGAAAAAGCTTGCCTTTTGATGTCTATGGGGGGGGGGGAGGGGTAATTCTTAGAAATATAGAGTATACACTCGTGTTTTGAGCCTTTGAAATAAAACTTATATCTTGGGGAAAAATTCTTAATAATTGGTTTTCGTAATTGATGGAGAGTGGAAGCATTCGTCAGAGAGATCACAGACTATGTCTGAGACCCGTTTGGACTGAAAGATGGAGCCCTAAAACGTATCCAGTAGAAATTCTGTGTCTATTGTCTATACATTCTCTTGGAATGTATAATTTATCCAAAGAATCCTTGATTACACAAAAGACTACAATAGTACAATTGTGATTAGGACATTGCTCTTAAAAAATGAACTAGGGGAGCCACTTATTATTCTTAGTAAAATATACCTCACTGAAAAATAATGGATGAATTGAAGTTGATTGATGGATTAATATTCTCTTTCTTCCTCTAGAGCAGAGGTGAGGTTGAACCGAAGCACTGCTAAATATGAGAACAAGAGCGAGAAGTAAGTTTTCACCAAGGAGTATAGAATAGACCAGGGAGATACAATTGACGCGGCCCGCCCTACCATATGATTATACATGATTTGCAGACGGTACTCCATTTGTATAAGAAATATTCAGAATAGGTTATTGAATACGCGGTAATTGTACATCAGACATATGTTTCTTATTCAAATGAAGTACTGTCTGCAAAGCATGTATAATCATATTTTAGGACGGACCGCGTCAGTTGTATCTCCCTTCTATTCCATGTTACTTGGTTTTCACGCTATAATATGGAGTTTAGACACAACCATAGCAATTCGTCATTTGGCTAGAAATAAATTTGAAGCCAATTTTTTAACAAATAAATTGGAATGGTTTAGTTTATATTTCTTGTCTGTAAGAATTAGACTTTGATAAATAGAAAGTGAACAAGAGACGATTGGGAGAAATTATGCCATTCTTTTTGTAGGTTTCGAATTTCTAACCGTGAATATAACAAACAGTACTGTGAAACCTACAGTGTTAGGTTGGATACTATACGCAAAATGATTATTCCTCAGGTAAAACCTTTGAAACAGGGCAAATGATTTTGTGCCCCCCCCCCCCTCCTTCTCTTAATACACGTAAAAGCATAGAATTACTAAACACAACAAAAATCAACAGCCCGACTGATTTTCTCCTCTAGAAGTAAGTTTGGTGATGTGGGGAATGGATTTGTTAGACTTTGAAGATTTGGAGTAAAAAAGAACAACGAAATAGGGAATGTTAACTTAGAGGGGTTTTCTCATGAAAAAGATTAAAAAAAAAGATTCAGCTAATAATACGCTTAAGGAAATAAATTTTAGAGTGGTTAGTGAAAATGATTCATAAAGAAAATCACATAAACACGACAATGAATTAATTATTGGGTTTAAAAATTAAATGCTAAATAAATTTTAAGAATTGAAAACTAACTAAGTTTTGGCAGTTTCTCTTTTGCAAGTAAGTTGTTCACTTTATGAAAATATTATGCGTACTCTTCATTGCTTAGGATCCTGATCCAAGGGGTAAAATATCAAACAAAAACTGCAAAAAACTTTTTTACTCGAAAAACCCAAATGTGAAGTTTTGGAAAAAGAGAGATTATAAAAATTTCCTCATTTATGAATGGTTCATCAAGTTTTAGGATAAAATAAGCGAACAAAATAAAACAAATTTTGAAAATTATTTTTTGTTAAAAAAATTCAGTAAATCTTTAAGAAATGACCTGGATCCGGATACATTTTTTTCCGGTGCGGATCCAGGATCCGGTTCCGGATCCGCATCAAAATTAGAAGGATTCTTAGCACTGGTACTCTTATTTTTATTCCAATTCATAATATGAAAAAAACTCACAATTTCAACGAACAAGCTCTATTTGTTGTAGGCTAAGAAACTGCATGGGGAGAAAATCGTCGTCCTCCCTCTGTCAGAACTTAGAGAGGACACTGATGCTGCAAGAGAGGAAGATATTCTGATAGGTAAAGGATATTTTCCACTGCCCTTAATCCGGATCCGTTGGATCCGCAAGATTTTGGCTTCCTGGAATTTTACTCTCAAAACCCAAATCTGAACTGTTAAGAAAAGAGAGAATATAAAAATCTCCTGATATCTGAATTGTTCATTAAGTTTAAGCATAACAACAAGCGAAAAAAAGAAGAAAAATAGTTTGACTATTCTGCTTTGTTGAAAAAATTCAGTAAATCTTAAAGGAATGTTCATGGATCCAAAGCGGATCAAGGATCCGGATCAGCATCATAATTAAATGGATCTTATGCATTTATTTTCTCATCTTAAAAGTTTTGATGGAATTGCTGAATTGAAGAAAATAAATGAATTTGGGATAAAAATTATCTAAAACAGAGGGGTAAGGTGTGAGTTAATAACATATCTTAATAAAAATATATATACCCCGCGTGTTACTTTTAGGAATACTAATATACTAAAATTTAGTTAAGGATATTTTTTTTTTTTGAAAAGTCCCCCGGTCGATTTGCTGTTTTTTTTTGAAAGGGGAGGAGGGGGGGGGGAGGAAATAGGACTTTTCTTTCAAAGTAATTTCAAAAATGAAAATGTTTTACATTTTGGTCTTAGCATTTAAGAATAAAAACTACTTGGATGTAACTATTGATAACTTAGTTGGTACACTGTTTAAGCAGCAGGAGAATAAACCCAGTATTCTGAAGGAGTTCTCTGAGGATCAGGTGGGATTACTTTTCAGTACAAAATACCTTTCAGGACAAAGAAAATGTCAAGTCTAAAGGCAATACAATTATGGCGAAACATTTTAATAGAATCATTGGAATCATTTCGAAGAGCTAAAGATGTACTCTAGGACATGCTTAAAAGATTGATTAACCCTAACCTAGATTGTTAAACTTGAAAATGGATTGATTAACCCTAACCTAGATTGATAAACCTGAACCTAGATTGATAAACCTGAACCTAGATTGATAAACCTTAACCTAAATTGTTAAACCTGAACCTAGATTGTTAAACCTTAACCTAAATTGATAAACCTGAACCTAGATTGATAAACCTGAACCTAGATTGACAAACCTGAACCTGAAAAAGAGAAGTATACTGCTGAAACTGACAGCTTGGTTTTAGAAGATGAAACAATGAGAGTTAAACTCATTGGAAAGGTAGGAATACTGATGATATTGATTTGTTTTTGATATCATTTGAAAAAAGATATTGTTAGTTTCCCCACAAAATTCTTAAATTCCCTACAAAATTGTTAGATTCACCATAAAATTGTTTGATTTACCCTAAAACTGTTATATTCACCACAAAATTACTGGATTTACCACAAAATTGTTAGATTCACCCCAAAATTTCTAGCTTCCACACAAAATTGTTAGATTCACCATAAAATTGTTTGATTTACCCTAAAACTGTTATATTCACCACAAAATTACTGGATTTACCACAAAATTGTTAGATTCACCCCAAAATTTCTAGCTTCCACACAAAATTGTTAGATTCACCATAAAATTGTTTGATTTACCCTAAAACTGTTATATTCACCACAAAATTACTGGATTTACCACAAAATTGTTAGATTCACCCCAAAATTTCTAGCTTCCACACAAAATTGTTAGATTCACCATAAAATTGTTTGATTTACCCTAAAACTGTTATATTCACCACAAAATTACTGGATTTACCACAAAATTGTTAGATTCACCCCAAAATTTCTAGCTTCCACACAAAATTGTTAGATTCACCATAAAATTGTTTGATTTACCCTAAAACTGTTATATTCACCACAAAATTACTGGATTTACCACAAAATTGTTAGATTCACCCCAAAATTTCTAGCTTCCACACAAAATTGTTAGATTCACCATAAAATTGTTTGATTTACCCTAAAACTGTTATATTTACCACAAAATTACTGGATTTACCACAAAATTGTTAGATTCACCCCAAAATTTCTAGCTTCCACACAAAATTGTTAGATTCACCACAATACTGTTAGATTCCCCCCAAAATTGCTAGACTCCCCACAATATTGTTAGATTCCCCCCAAAATTGCTAGACTCCCCACAATATTGTTAGATTCCCCCCAAAATTGCTAGACTCCCCACAATATTGTTAGATTACCCCCAAAATCGTTAGATTCCCCCAAAAATTGTTAGATTCCTCCAAAATTGCTAGATTGCCCCAAAAATGTTAGTTTTCCCAAACACACTGTTAAGATGATGTTAGGTACTTTCCCAGAGGCATTTTCTGAAATAACAACTTCCCAAGGATATTTTCCCAAGTGGCAACTTCCCAAATGTGCAGTTTCCCAAGCAGCCATTTCCCAATTCTGTCCTAGCCACAGAGGCCCCAGCCTGTTCTAGCCGTGGTGCCCGAACCCTAGCCCATCCTTGCCACAGCACTCGGCTCCCATTGCAGCCCGCGGCGCCTCAGAGGGCCTAACCTTACCTTTGGGAAGTTACCGCTTGTGAAATTGCACATTTGGGAAGTTGCCACTTGGGAAATTTATACTTGGCAAGTCACCCTTGACAAATGTCTTCAGGAAAGTACCTCACACCGTTAAGATTTCCCCCAAATTGATAGATTCTCCACAAAATTTATGATTTTCCCAAAAATGGATGAATGCTGTAGGTGACCCCATCCTTGTTGGTGAACGGAGTAGTGGTTGGATGTTGGGGTCGTGAGGCTAGCGGCGGGAACTTCGACGTGAAGGAGCTGATCTATCCACTCATACCCTCTTCAGATACCCAAGGGGAGGAGGTTTCTATCTGTATACTCTCAGGACTTAATCTTAATGGAACAGAGGTAAATACAGTGAAGGGTGCTAAATCATTGGTTGATAGATAAATTCACAAATCACAAATTTGAAAACTGTAAACAGTTGGAGTCTCTATATCAACTAATGTATTTGAGGTTTATATGTTATAAGTTAAAGTTAATCGACATAATTACAATTCCTACTTAGTTATATATATCACATGATTAAGACAATCATGTTGCGTATTTACGTAGTTAAGATAAGGGCAATCCCTCAGGTAGAATTCCAAAAGCCAGAAATCGGAATTCCGATCAAGAGAAATTGTATAGTTATTAACTGATGAAAACTAAGATTAAATGATTGTAATTGAACAACTCATGAAGTAACATGGAGAAACTGAAAATTGATCCATTGATAAAGTGATAAATTAACTGATGAACTAATAAAGTAAATGATCAACTGATAAAGTAATTAATCAACTCATAAAGTTATTGACAACTAAATATTAACATTCAATTTCCAGGGTGACTGGTTGGAGTCTGCTCAGCTTGCTGTAGACTGGATATGTGGTAGCGCTGGGGGATTAGCAGATCAGGAGATAGCATCCAGGTTGATTATTATAATATTAGCTGCTATAGACTGGATATGATAGCGTCCAGGTTAGTTATTAGAATAATAGCTGCTATAGACTGAATATGATGGCGTCCAGGTTAGTTATTAGAATAGTAGCTGCTATAGACTGGATATGATAGCATCCAGGTTGATTATTAGAATAATAGCTGCTATAGACTGGATATGATAGCCTCCAGGTTAGTTATTAGAATAATAGTTGCTGTAGACTAGATATGATAGCGACCAGGTTAGTTATCAGAAAAGTAGCTGCTATAGACTTGATATGATGGCGTCCAGGTTAGTTATTAGAATAGTAGCTGCTATAGACTGGATATGATAGCATCCAGGTTGGTTATTAGAATAGTAGCTGCTATGGACTGGATATGATAGCGTCCAGGTTTGTTATTAGAATAGTAGCTGCTATAGACTAGATATGATAGCGTCCAGGTTAGTTATTATAATAGTAGCTGCTATAGACTGGATATGATAGCATCCAGGTTGATTATTAGAATAGTAGCTGCTATAGACTGGATATGATAGCGTCCAGGTTAGTTATTATAATAGTAGCTGCTATAGACTGGATATGATAGCATCCAGGTTGATTATTAGAATAATAGCTGCTATATACTGGATATGAAAGCGTCCAGGTTAGTTATTAGAATAATAGTTGCTGTAGACTGGATATGATAGCGTCCAGGTTAGTTGTTAGAATAGTAGCTGCAATAGACTGGATATGATAGCGTTCAGGTTAGTCATTAGAATAGTGGCTGCTATAGACTGGATATGAAAGCGTCCAGGTTAGTTATTAGAATAATAGTTGCTGTAGACTAGATATGATAGCGTCCAGGTTATTTACTAGAATAGTAGCTGCTTTAGACTGGATATGATAGCGTCCAGGTTAGTCATTAGAATAGTAGATGCTATAGACTGGATATGATAGTGTCCAGGTTAGTTATTAGAATAGTAGCTGCTATAGACTGGATATGATAGCGTCCAGGTTAGTTATTAGAATAGTAGCTGCTGTAGACTGGAAATGATAGCATCCAGGTTGATTATTAGAATAATAGCTGCTATAAACTGGATATGAAAGCGTCCAGGTTAGTTATTAGAAACGTAGCTGCAGTAGACTGGAAATGATAGCGTCCAGGTTGATTATTAGAATAGTAGCTGCTATAGACTGGATATGATAGCATCCAGGTTGATTATTAGAATAATAGCTGCTATAGACTGGATATGAAAGCGTCCAGGTTAGTTTTTAGAATAATAGTTGCTGTTGACTGGATATGATAGCGTCCAGGTTAGTTATTGGAATAGTAGCTGCTATAGACTGGATATGATAGCGTTCAGGTTAGTTATTAGAATAGTGCTGCTATAGACTGGATATGATAGCGTCCAGGTTAGTTATTAGAATAATAGTTGCTATAAACTGGGTATGATAGCGTCCAGGTTAGTTATTAGAATAGTAGCTGCTATAAACTGGATATGATAGCGTCCAGGTTAGTTATTAGAATAATAGCTGCTATAGACTGGATATGATGGCGTCCAGGTTAGTTATTAGAATAGTAGCTGCTATAGACTGGATATGATAGCATCCAGGCTGGTCATTAGAATAGTAGCTGCTATTGACTGGATATGATAGCGTCCAGGTTAGTTATTAGAATAGTAGCTGCTATAGACTGGATATGATAGCGTCCAGGTTAGTTATTAGAATGGTAGCTGCTATAGATTGGATATGATAGCATCCAGGTTGGTTATTAGAATAGTAGCTGCTATAGACTGGATATGATAGCGTCCAGGTTAGTTATTAGAATAATAGTTGCTGTAGACTGGATGATATTTTCTTCTCTTGAACTTTACTAAACGAAAAAAGGAGAGTCCTAAAATATACAAAAGAATTAAATCAAAATAAATACGATAATTTATTTGCACACTCAAATATAGTAAAATTAACAAATATGCAACTAAATAAGTGAAGTCAATGCTTATAGGGGCAAATTCAAAGAGTAATTAGCTAGATGACTAAATAATAGTTTTGGCTTAAAGGACTTTAGTGGTACCTTACAAAGCTTTGTTGGATCAAGAATGCACGAGATATTCATCATTTACTTTTTATAAAAAAAATTTTTTTTTTATCCAATACAAGTTTCATTTTTCAAGTAACATGAGGTTTTCTGGTTCAGTTAAAAAGGGGGAAATTTCCCTGTTTTTACTTTGTACCTAGAATTTTATAATTACAAGGCTTCCATTCGATTTTAATTTAATCACTGCTCTTTCTGAAGCATTTTCTTTTCTAAAATTTTTTTTCCCTGGATTCTAAAATTAAATTTTGTTAAATTAAATTTTTAAAAGTCTGATCATCCATAAACCTCTTCTGAGTTCTGGGGTCATGTGAGGTCCCACAAAAAAATTTCGCCCGATCGGTTCAGTCAGTTATTAAACAGAAACAGAGGGACAGACAGATAATCAAAGTATGGGGGGTCTTCAGATCCTCCCTTATCTTATCTTATATTTATAGAATATTTGTTATAATCAGGGTTGAACGAGTTATTCTAGCTGGAGACTGTCTAGCAGAGTCTACAAGGAATAAGGAAGATCTCACCAGAGCCAGGTAAAATATTCTAGCTGGAGACTGTCTAGCAGAGTCTACAAGGAATAAGGAAGATCTCATCAGAGCCAGGTAAAATTCTGACCTGGTCATTTTTTCTTATTATTATTATTTCAGTTTAAAATGGTAATCATACTTGTTATATGAAATATTGTGTTAATGGTAGGTATCTAACGCTTAATATATAATGTTAGGTATTTGACGCTGAATAAGCAGGCAGGTAGTGTTGACGCAATGCGTCAACTGGATGACCTGCTTGTACAGCTTGCCGGTAGTGTCAACACAGATCTACTGCCAGGTAAAAAAACAATAGCCTACCTTTACTTTGACAATTTTAATCGTCATCAATAATTACTACTTTTATGTCGTAAATGTTTCAATACAGTTTATTTCAAAGAAAGTGATTACTCGCATCAAACCTCATTTTTCTATTCCCTTAATATTTGAAACCAGATGGTGTAAATCTTAGAATTTTTTAGAAATATTTAATCTAGCACAACATCACACACAACATCAGTTGGAAAGAAAGAAAATAAGAGTTTGAGGCAAGTGATATTAGTTCCTTTACCAATTAATCAATGGTGTGTGATCTAAAAGCCGCCCCAATTTTAGAGACAGAGACCACTAAAATACTCCATTATTTGGTTTGGTCTCGAAATTAATAATTTTGAGATAAGCCTTTCCAGGGTTTACGAAATGCGGGACATAGATTAGTATAAAAAAATAATAAATTTTTTTATTGTTTAGGTGAGAATGATCCAGCAACTGGTATTCTCCCCCAGCAACCTCTACATAAATGTATGTTCCCTCAGGTAATGATAGACACAGCAATAGTTATAAGGGACCAATAAAAATAAGAATAATTTGAAATATAAGATAAAAAACAATAAAAACAGTGCTAAGGATCTGGAATTTCCGGATTCGTTGGATCCGCATTTTTTTGGCTTTCTGGGTCCGAAACCACAAAAGCATGTGGACCCAAGGGGAGAAATATTAACCAGAAACCGTATTTAAAACTTTTTGCTCCTAAAACCCAAATCTGAACTGTTAAATAGAGATATTGTTAAAATTTTCTCTCTTTCTGTTCAACAAGTTTTATCATAAAATTTAGCGAAAAAAAGCAAAAATATAATTTTAATTTTTGTTCATAAAATCAGCAAATCTTATAGAAATGTTCTAATTTAGTGATTAGTTGTGTACCATGCTTTAATATTTTTATATTAACGATAATAGAAATTACTATAAAAAAATTAAGATAATATTAAGAAATTTCAAAGACAATAAAAGGAAAGAAATAAAATAAAATAAGAATGTAATGATAGAAATTAGAAATGATGATAAATAACAAAAGTTATGAAAATAGTTTGATTAAAGATGATTGTTAAGATTGAATATGTTTACTATGAGGGAATAGTTGCAATTTTTGAAAAATGCAATAACAATATTTTCATTGGTTTTGCATGAGTTGAAATTATATAATTTCCTCAGCATCATAAATCTATTTGAGCGCTCGTTGTTTTTATTTGAAGTTATGAACCATTCAGAGATAAGGACATCTCTTTTTTCAACAGTTCAGGTTTGAGTTTTGAGAGCAAAAGATCCTGGATCCGGATCCAGGAAGCCGAAATGTTTCGGATCCTAGGCACTGCAATATGAAGGCTAGAAAAAATAGATTAATTTAAATGATGTTAAGGCCAGCGTGTTCCCAACCTTCCAGAGTGTAACAAACCCGTACAGTTGTTCGGTAGGGGGTAGAGAAGTTCTTGTACTCTCAGGACAATCTATTGGGTAATTAAATCATTATTATACTTCCAAAGTTTTAGTTACGGACCCTTTACTCAACGTATTTATAAACACTGGTTAGCACTTAATTTTACTTAACTCTTGATACCATTTAGCTCTCAGTTTAACTTAACTCTTGACACCGTTTAGTTCTTAGTTTAACTTAACTCTTGACAACGTTTAGTTCTTAGTTTAACTTAACTCTATGCACCGCTAAGTTCTTAATTTAACTTAACTGTAGACACCGCTAAGTTCTTAATTTAAATCTTGATACCGTTCAACTCTTTAGTCTGAACTCATCTTGACTCATGATAATATTTGCTCTTAACTCTGGACACAGCTTAACTCTTTACTTAAGATGCTAAATAGCTTTTAACTTAACTCAACTTAAATAAAATGGAATTTTCCCTCACACATCATTCTTTCTTAAACTTAATCAACTTTACCCAATTTTCTTATTTATTTATAGATTTTTCCCCCCTAAATTGTTATATTTTATTTATTTAGAGATATTGTGAAGAATTCTGATTTGTCAAATACTATTGATATTCTTGAAAACCTAATCAAGTAAGTATTTATTTATTTATCTTGATTTAGATAGAAGTCTGTCTTCACTTAGTCCATTTTCGATTTTCTATAAACTTCGTCTTTAAATTTTTAATAGACTGAAGGAGACATGGAGNTTGAATTGAACACTAAATTCAATATTGAATTGAACACTAAATTCAATATTGAATTGAACACTAAATTCAATATTGAATTGAACACTAAATTCAATATTGAATTGAAACACTGAATTCAATATTGAATGGAATAATAAATTAATTTGTTTTCGTTGTGAATTGTAAATTTTGGAAATGTCTCGTAAAGGATTGGGCGCACATATTTCGAAGGATTGGCTTTAGGAGCGAGTATAACCCTGAATTTTACACATTGATTGTTGAAAGATTTCTTTTTAATAATCAAATCAAATCAATACTTTGAGAACCACAACATTGTTGACTAGGAAGACAAAATTAAGCAATCTTATGTGTACTTGATGTTGTTATAAAGCAAACATTTACTATTAGCTTAAGTCAACTTATTTAAACAAGGTTGTTTTGTTTTATGTTCATGGGCATATTCAAAATCGTAACTTGAGTCTAACAGTCGTCTTCCTATTCCACCGTTTTATGGACGGGTCTACTGTAATGAAATAAAGCATTGCTTCGTACAAATTGAAAACTCTAATCGTGTTTTTTATAAATATTAGATGCGGCCATGTTGCTCCTACTTGTCCTGACACCCTGGGGTGTTATCCAACCTACCTGGAGGATCCGTTCGTTCTTCAAACCCTTCCTGATATCCTGGTAGCCAGCAACCAGGTAAAGTTTAAAGCTTCCTGATATCCTGCTATCCTGCAACCAGGCAGTGCTAAAAGCTTACTTATGTCCTTGTAGCCAGCAACCAGGTACAGTTAAAAGCTTCCTGATATCCTGGTATCCAGCAACCAGATAGTTTATAGCTTCCTGATATCCTGGTATCCAGCAACCAGAAAGTTTATAGCTTCCTGAAATCCTGGTATCCAGCAACCAGATAGTTTATAGCTTCCTGATATCCTGGTATCCAGCAACCAGGTACAGTTTAAAGCTTCCTGATATCCTGGTATCCTGCAACCAGGTACAGTTTAAAGCTTCCTGATATCCTGGTAGCCAGCAACCAGGTACAGTTTAAAGCTTCCTGATATCCTGGTAGCTAGCAACCAGGTACAGTTTAAAACTTCCTGATATCCTGGTAGTCAGCCACCAGTATTCGTAATTTCAAGTAGCTCTTTATTTAAAGAGTGTCATGTCCTATTCACACCGGTAACTTAAAGCGTTGATCAAGAAAAAATGAGGTATCCATGTTTTTCTCTTTCAATATCTATTATTTTCAATTAGGGGTTTCCAAAAACTGACTTGAACATTTTAGCTGCAGACAATTTTTCTGGATACTGGATATCATCTAATTACACAGTTTTCAAGTGAGACAGACGACAATATCTTCCACAATATTGATCAAATAAAGGTTATCAGTTCAGGGTTGTTAATTAGGCATACCCCGTTTTAGTGGAACACTTGTAGAATTCTAACAATTCATGTTATTGTTTCTGTCGCAGAAATCTGCTTGTTACTTGTACAGAGAAACCACGAAAAATTTTCGAGAGAAAAATAAAAATCTGTACAATACACCCTGTTGGGGAAAAAATATGATTCTAAAAGGGGGGGGGGCAAAAATGTGAGTCACAGAACCAATTTAAACCAATTTCACAATATTTATTTTGTTAAGGCTGAGTATAACTTCAAGAAGATAGTTGTGAACGGGAAACCTATTCTTCTCCTCTCCGTTCCCCAGTTCTCGTCCTCCAGGGCCGTGGTACAGATCAGCCTCCACACCCTCGAACCTTCTATCATCGAGTTCGAATCTCAACTCGAGATATCGAATAGTCCGGAACCGAATAAATAATATCTACATCTACCAAAATCCAGTATTATGATATTGAAGTGAAGAAAAGAATTGTTGTGAAATTGAAAATAGTTTTATCGAAATGTTCTTGCTTAAAATGCTGCTATTTTATGTATGTATGATCTTCTCTCGAATATCTCATCTTCATTTCTCCCACAGTAGCTTTGATCTGAATTCAATCGATTAATCAAATTTAAAGAATAAATGGCGGCATTGGGACACGTCGCCAAAGTAAGAAAACAAAAAATATAATGTAAACATGTACTCATTTAGGCTTTTTATAAATGTTTTATTAACCAATAATCAAGTTTTATGAAATCAATGTAAATGTACGAATATTTTATTTACCAAACATGTTTCAAATTTTCTTTTTCTTTCAATTCTCTGCAACCGGTTAAAATCGGTGACGTCATTATGTTTGGGCCTTAAACACTGGAATTTGTAAATTTGTATTATCTTCAGATTTCTCAAAGATATGGTTGACGATAACGAGAATAAGGCCGGTGGGGCGGAAGGAAGACCGGTTGGCGGAGAATCTAGGGAGGGCCGAGGCGGACGGAACGACAGGCGTGGTGGAGGATATGGGGCTAGGAGGTGGAGGTGTCCGGACCCTAGTTGTGGAAAATATAATTCGGGTATTAAACATAAAAAGGGTATTAAAGGGACTGTAAGCGTAATTTTAAGTGGCCGGTTTCCAGTAGCGTAAATAAGGGGGGTTATTGGGATTACTTATCAGCTTCTTGAAGGGATTGTACGCGTAATTTTAATTGACCCTGACCCTCCATGCAAAGATTGTTTGCAGTGGTTTGCTTGAAATCTTATTCTGATCAAATCTGTGGAAAATACTGTGGTTTTCTGACTCGAAAATGGTTTATTCATGCGAGTTTCTTCCTTGCTTTTTTTTAACAAGAAATTCGCAAGTTACTTTTACAGAGAAACTGCAAAAGAAAATAAATAATTTAGAGAAACAAAATCATTGGTATTTAATTCATTCTTGAAATAAGACACGGATTTCGAGAGTACCGTTAGTTATCGTACATTGATATCTTTGCATGGAGGGTCAATTGAAATTACGCTTACAGTACCTTTAATAGATTTTTCAATGTGTTTCCTATTTGTGAAAGCAAAATTTTGTCATTTCAGTCTTATATCGTAATACCTCCCTCGGTGTCGTATCGTTTGCGCTAATTATTGATCGGACTAACGTACATTCGCAAGAACGTTCATTCGGAGTAACGTTTTATTTGAGGGTTAGGTTAGGTTAGGACAATTTCTGGGTCGAGCGCTGAGGCTAGGGGGCCGAGCGCCGCGGCTAGGACAGGCTAGGGGGCCGGGCGCTTTGGCCACAAGTGTTACTGATCAGCTGACTTTAGAGCAAAAGTACGTTAGTTCAATCGGACATTAGTGCAAACGATATAGCATCCCTCCCTCTATCTGTACAACCAGGAGACGTAAACTTATGATATTTCAAACTTAGACTATTGGATCTAACAGTTAGCCATGCTTGTAATCCAAAGGCCTGCTACATCAGTTTGTAAAAAAAGGATTGAAAAATTAAATTTTGTACCGAGTGTTTTGTTTATCCTCGACACAGAGTTTACTGATCTAATGACAACTTATTCAGGGGAAAATGAGAATTGCAAGCAGTGCAATACAAGCAAAGTACTCGCGAAGGTATGAAATTTAAATCTAATTCCTATGCGATCTATTAGAACGACTTTCACAATATAACGACTCATTATCGGCTTTTAATAGGCTTTAATCGGTCCATGACCAGTATCTAACTAATAATTAATTATTAATTCTTTCGAAATTCAAGGTAAAACCCCATTTTTGACCTTTTTTAGCACAATAAGTTCTATATTTTTTTTTTAATGCATGGAAAATCTTTTGTAAAATATAACATTGTTTTTCATTATACATTTTTCCAATTTTCTATTTCAGAAGATTGATGAGCAGAGACAGGAGAGGTCGGGTGGTTGGGGGCGTGGAGGTGGAGGACGTGGACGTGGAGGAGGACGTGGAGGTGGTGGACGTAGGTTTGGAGGTCGGGGTGAGAAACAACCCCCGTCCGATTGTCCGATTGTCCGTATGTTTGAAGGGGTAAATATTAAAATCAAGTTTTATTAAACCCTTTATACGTATATTGGAAAAGTTTACTTTACGTAATGCTGGACAATAATTGGGGGTTTTACGTACAACAAAAAAAGTTTTTGTTTTAATTTTTTGATTTTATTATTGAGTATTGCTTGATAGATATGGCGATTATATGAATATTTCAGTTGTTTGCAGAATTGTATCGGGTGGATTTAAGATTATATTGGGCAACTATCTGATTGATTGATTGATTAATTGATGTGTTGTAGGTCCGTGAGGTGCTGGATGCCCGTCATGATAAGATGGAAAGGATTGTTAAACTGAGCCGAGATATCACCATCGAGAGCAAACGGATTATCTTCACTCTTCATAGGTTAGCTTTACCCAAGATTTTATATAAGGTTAGATACTCTGGATGCGCTTCAATCTAGGTAAATGTCGTCGTTGTTGCATTGGACACTAAAACCTCACATGACGTCACTGATAAGTGATACTTAACGAAAAGACAATTTTTTAAAACTATTGATTGTGCTAACAAGTTTGAAGCTAAAAAATGCAATTCTAATTCAAGTATTTAATCTTTGAAATAAGCAGTGACGTCATATTAGGATTTAGAGTGTCCATTGATATGAAGGTGGTCTTTACCTACATTGGAGCGCATCCTGAGTATCTTACCTCATTTTACAACCTTAGTTTAATATAATTTCAATCAAGTGAATAGACCTTAATCGGATTTTAAAGATATTATTTCTTTTGCTTGCATTCCTTTTATACAATATACATATAGTAAATGCCATACTCTTACAACTTTTTCCCAAACTGTATCAGTCCAGGCACAACTCGTCCACTATCCAAGTCAACCACGACACAACCCACCTGGCTCTAAATGTCACAAAGGGACACAAGCGTAGCTTATCAGTCTAGCTATTACTCAGTCTCTAAATGCCACACTATTTTATAAATTATTCTAGACCATTAAGACGTTTGTATTATGTGTAATTTTACTGTAAGAGTGCAAAAATCATATCAGGTAGGCGTGCTGCGCAACTACCAGGCAGGCGGCTGGGCCACACCATTTAAATTTTTTGAATTATTTAGGATAAAGAGTGAAGAGGACAAGGATAGTGTCCTCTACGAGGCCGAGGGAAAGCTGAACAGCCTCAAGAAGGAGGTCTGGAGGTACCTGGCCATAGAGCTCAGAGGGGAGGTAACACTAGTTTTTTAAAATAAGATCTGTGATTAAAATCTAGATTTTATTTGAGGGGTATATTTGGGTGGGGGATAAAAATGGTCAGCATCCCCTTACTCAAGGAGAATTGAATAGAAGGAGGGGGCGATAGGGTTTCCGTACACTTTGCTGTGACGTCTTTGTACTGCTGAAGAACTAGTTTTTGCGTAACAATAATAATAAAGATTGTAAACAATAACACAAATGATAAACAAACATCTGGCATTTCTGGTGGTAGATGAAGATTCACCGTATACTAACTCATGTTTGTTTACATTAGATCTGCTGCCTTTGTTATTGTTGTTACGCAAAAACTAGTTCTTTAGCAGTCCAAAAACGTCACAACAAAGTGTACGGAACCCTATCGCCCCCTCCTTCAATTCAACTCTCCTTGCTCTTACTGATGCTAACTTTTTTTATTTTTTTTTCAATTCATCGATAAAATATTTAAGTAATTTCGAGAAATGTATTTTTGTATATTCTTAGGACGATTTTCAGTTTCTTCGCAACTATACAGCAGGTCTTCAGGTAGAACATTCTTTTAGTTTGATAATTTATTTATATTTTTGAGGTTTAAAATTGAAATTTTCGTTTTTTTTAGATAATTAATTAATTATTGTTATAATATCTAGGAATGGATTGAAGCACTTTCATTTTATCATTTTATTTGTTACAACCGTCTCATCACGTGGGAGGAGGTTCAGAAGGAACTAGTTTTCCAGTACAGGTAGGGTTAACTACAGTACAGGTAGGGTTAACTACAGTACAGGTAGGGTTAACTACAGTACAGGTAGGGTTAACTACAGTACAGGCAGAGTTAACTACAGTACAGGCAGGGTTAACTACATTACAGGCAGGGTTAACTACAGTACAGGTAGGGTTAACTATAGTACAGGTAGGGTTAACTACACAGGTAGGGTCTACAGTACAGGTAGGGTTAACTACAGTACAGGTAGGGTTAACTACAGTACATGTAGAGTTAACTACAGTACAGGTAGGGTTAACTACAGTACAGGCAGGGTTAACTACAGTACAGGTAGGGTTAACTACAGTACAGGTAAGGTTAACTACAGTACAGGTAGGGTTAACTATAGTACAGGTAGGGTTAACTACATTACAGGTAGGGTTAACTACAGTACAGGCAGAGTTAACTACAGTACAGGCAGGGTTAACTACATTACAGGTAGAGTTAACTACAGTACAGGTAGGGTTAACTACAGTACAGGCAGGGTTAACTACAGTACAGGCAGGGTTAACTACAGGACAGGTAGGGTTAACTACAGTACAGGCAGGGTTAACTACAGGACAGGGAGGGTTAACTACAGTATAGGCAGGGTTAACTACAGTACAGGTAGGGTTAACTACAGTACAGGTAGGGTTAACTACAGTACAGGTAAGGTTAACTACAGTACAGGTAGGGTTAACTACAGTAAAGGCAGGGTTAACTACAGTACAGGTAGGGTTAACTAGAGTACAGGTAGGGTTAACTACAGTACAGGTAGGGTTAACTACAGTATAGGGAGGGTTAACTACAGTACAGGTAGGGTTAACTACAGTACAGGCAGGGTTAACTACATTACAGGTAGGGTTTACTACAGTTCAGGTAGGGTTAACTACAGTACAGATAGGGTTAACTACTGTACAATTAAATTCAGTTTAATTTTATTCAAAGTTTTTGAGGTTCACGAGCCTCGGGGGCTTTTAAGTTTTGGATGTTGATAATTAGCACAAAGGTTTAATCTCTATTTATTCACGATTTGGGTTCATGGAAACGCCTTAACATAGAAATGCCTCAATATGGAATATGACCAAAAAAGAGCTGTAACCCCTCAAAAGATATAATTTTGATGCGTTTCTGCGGTTTTTTTTCCAAAGAGGGGGTTGGAAATAAAATCTTTTTTAATTTGATCAACTGTTATTCATTTTTTAGAATCTCCACTAAACGCAAGAATATTGTGAAGAATATCTCTGAAGAGGAGAAAATCGAGGATAAGGAGGAAAAGGAGACTAATAATAATGACGGAAAGCAAGGTGAAGAGAACGATGAGAAAAAGGATGAGGAGAACGATGAGAAAAAGGATGAGGAGAAAGATGAGAAAAAGGATGAGGAGAAGGACGAGGGGAAGGAAGAGGAGGAGAAGAGAGATAGAGAGAAGGATGAAGATGGTAGAGATTCTCCGGACCAGGTATTTTAACATTTATACATTTAGGATTTTACGGTTTTTATGTTAAACCCTTTCTCTAAGCGCACTAATGATTGAGTTTTCCTTGTTTTTCTATCTGATCATGATAATTTTTAATTGCAGTTCAAATTGTGATTTACGAAATCATGCTGGAGAAGTAATGAATGAAATTGGAAGACTTTTTATAACCAAAAAATACATATATTACTAACATGCAAATTATATCCTGTTTTGCTTTTATTTATCAGCTATGCATAATAATGCATTATCTGGAACTAACCATGACCCGTATTTATTTGAAATAAAGATGATAAAATAATCGCAGGAAATGCTTTAAAATTGATGTTTGCTTAAAATGAGGCTGACAGTATTTTCTTTTCTTGAAAATCTATTGAAATTTTATCCAATTTTGAGAGAATTTTATCCGGTATTTTCTCAGAATTTCATAATCTTGGGTATAACAAGTTTCTTATTTGTTCCGAGACGAAAGAGTAACATTTTATACCGAAGCTTGTACATCATAAAAAACGGGAATTGTGCAGTGTAACAATGTCGGGACACTGACTCATTTTAAAGTTGATTTTCTAACTTCTGAGTCTAAAACTAAAGAATAAAATGTTCCGACTTAAAACAGCTGATGACCAATGGTTACGAAATATCTTTCCGTAAATCCCTTTCTCTGATAGGTTAAGATTTTTCCCGGGAAATTCAAATTTCCGTTCACGGTTATATTGAGAACGTTTAATATTTAAGAGCAACTCATTATTTTACAGAACTTTTAAACTGTAACTTAAATTTCGCGCATTCTTTAGTTTTAGACTCTGGTAAAACAAAATTATTTCTTATAACAACATCAAATACACATATGTTCGCGGACATGTCGTCTTTCTAGTTCACAGCTTTATGTGTCTCACTGTTAATGCTAAACCAACTTTTGTTTAGTTTGAAGAGATGAAGATTACAGTGCCTCAAACTGATTATATTCTCGGTCTAGCTGATCTTACAGGTTTACTTAGTTTTTCTCTTTTAGGAAAAATAAAAAATGAGGTTTCTTTCCTGGTGAAAAATATAAATTGATAAAAATATCTATTTATGTCATTGTAAACGGAGGGAGCTCAAGCCTACAACCTAGATTGAAGGTTTGACAGCGATTATTATTATTATTATTAATGGGTAAAATTTTAAGTGCGAAAAAGTTTTTGCCGGGATTTTTATTTTTTCTAGTTTGTCTAAGATCAAAATGAAAGTATTTTCACACCGAAACGCTTTTTTTGCACGCATGATACCCATTTCAATAACATATATAGTTTTATTCAGTTTTACTCAAAATGTTTAAGAGCAGGTCTATAAAGTTACTTAATCACCCTGTTGAAGGGTGATTAAGTAACTTTATCACCCTACAATGAGACAAATTAGGTATGAAATTTGAAATTTTAACAACAGGATGAAATACTTTTTCACCCTGTTGTAGGGCGATAAAGTCACTTAATCACCCTACAATGGAAAATATTAGGTGTGATAAATTCCATCAAATTGACCATACTTTATTTAGAAAACTCACGAAGAATTTTCTAATTTGTAATTGTGAAAACATTTTCAAAGTTGATAATTACAGTTTACACCTACGATCTATCTATCTTAACCTAGTTTACCCTTGGTTTGTGCGTGCATATCAGACACGTGGATTTTGTGTGCTTGCTCCCGTAGGCAGTCTATGTTCCCCATTTATTGTTATGGTGTATGTGGTTGTATTGTGCAGGGAGAGAGGGGGGAGGGACGTTCAGAGTTTTCAAATCAATTAAGACCCATGATATTTAAATACAATCAAAGAAATTATTAGAGTTATTATTTTCAGGAGAGCTGATGAGGAATGCTATTAACAGCCTGACCTCGGGAAATCTAGAGGCTTGTTTTATTCTCTTGACATTCCTTCAGGTAATTTATAGATAGTATCCTTGATCTTGTATCAACGGACAGTCCTTTATTAATGTCCTTGACATTTTATCAATTTCATAAGACTTTGCATTGAAATTTTTAATTTGTAGACTTTGCATTGATTTTTTTAATTTGTAGACTTTGCATTGAATTTTTTAAATTTGTAGACTTTGCATTGAATTTTTTAATCTGTAGACTTTGCATTGAATTTTTTAATTTGTAGACTTTGCATTGAATTTTTTAATCTTTTTAAAATCTAGATATTTATTTACGTACATTTTATCAATTTCATAAGACTTTGCATTGAATTTTTTAATCTGTAGACTTTGCATTGAATTTTTTAATCTGTAGACTTTGCATTGAATTTTTTAAATTTGTAGACTTTGCATTGAATTTTTTAATCTTTTTAAAATCTAGATATTTATTTACGTATCATCATCATAGTTTACAAGATTGTTAACATGGATTTAACACAAAACTTTCTTACGATATTTTCTTTGTAAATACAATTATAAATATATAAGTTCGAAATTCGAATTTTAACAGATACATTAATTTTCGTTTTTTCATGTCTGAATTGCTGGTAAATTTATATTCAAGTATTGGTAAGGCAGCAGTTCGAGAGAAAATACTACATTATATATTAAGGGTAGCGTTCTTTTATGAAATCTGACTGTGAGATATTACATACACAGTGTGTGTTATCTCTTATTAGAAAAGGCTACAATTAACAGTGTGCATGCTTTCACATAAACATACACGGGAGCGAGTTTCCATTTTTACATTAGAGGAATTTAATGTGAGCTTCAGAACGAGGAACATTATCCGTTCTTCGTTTATATTGAGGCTACATTTTACGCGAAAATATGTAAGTTCATTTATGTTGAGGCTTCATAAGCAGGCGAAAGAAGGAACACAATAATTAATACGATATACGAAGGAACATAATAATTGAGAAATTTAATAAATGCGAACATTGATGGTTCGTCTTAATAATATTGAGGCTTCATTAGCATGGTGTCCGAAGGGACTAGATATTTAAAAAATATACTAAATACGAACATTGATGGTTCGTTAGTATCTTTTAAGCTATGAAGCAATTATGTTAGCTCGTTGTATTGAGCTATAAATTAAAGATAGCGTTGCTGCGTAGTTGTCCTATCTTCTTGAGACATCCTGGGTCTGTCGGTTCAGGAGGCGTTGCAGTTTCATCAGACTGAATCAATAAAAAGATAATTAGTTTATTTTTAAATACAATTCAGATTGAGGAGGGAAATTCAGTTTTTGGCTCAAGTCCTTATAGTTTGCGGATCATTCTCCCAAAACTTTCAATAAAGATTTATTGATTAAACCAAATTATTTCAGATTATTTATTTAACGGGACAAAATTGCAGTAGTAGACTTTTATATCCGAGATATCAAATTAACGGAAAATAGATAAAAGAAAAATTAGTTTTTTGGATTCAAACAATTAACTTTAGACTTTAAGTTGAAATTACTTTCCGTACACAATTTAAATTCTTAAAATTTTAAAATTCTATTAGATAGCGTGTACATTAGTTTCGGTTCAAGAGTTTCAACCTTTACAGTCCAAAATGTTCCGTGTGCACACCCCTGCTCTCTGTATATATAAAAAAAAAGATTTAGAATTCATTAGTGATGTAGGGGATCCTCACGGGAGCTTATGGAAATATATTTTTTACCGTTATTTTTCGCCGAGAAGTACCGATATGAGGTCCCCCAGCTCCTCTGAAGTTCGACAGATTCAAGGATATTCTCGCACTCATTCATCTTCTCGGGTACGGTTTACTAGGTAAAGAGAGGACTGTTTAGAAACGGAAAACAAGAAAAATTTCTTCCATTTTCCTTTAACAGCAAGGCCTTCGGGATTATGATTGAGCGTGTGGGTTGCATGAATTCTTAATATGTAGACTTTACATTAAACTTTTTAATTTGTAGACTTTGCATTGATTTTTTTTAATTTTCAGACTTTGCATTGATTTTTTTTTTATTTGTAGACTTGGCATTGATTTTTTTTAATTGTAGACTTTGCATTACATTTTTTTTAATTGTAGACTTAGCATTGATTTTTTTTTAATTTGTAGACTTTGCATTGATTTTTTTTTAATTTGTAGACTTTGCATCGAATTTTATTTAATTTGTAGACTTTGCATTGATTTTTTTAAAATTTGTAGACTTTGCATTGATTTTTTTTAATTGTAGACTTTGCATTGCATTTTTTTTAAATTTGTAGACTTAGCATTGATTTTTTTTAATTTGTAGACTTTGCATTGAATTTTCTATTTGTACACTTTGCATTGAATTTTTTTAATTTCGTAGACTTTGCATTGAATTTTTTTTAATTTGTCGCCTTAGCATAGAATTTTTTAATTTGTAGACTTTGCATTGAATTTTTTTTAACTTGTAGACTTAGCATTGAATTTTTTTTAATTTGTAGACTTAGCATTGAATTTTTTATAATTTGTAGACTTTGCATTGAATTTTTTTTTAATTTGAAGACTGCATGGCATTTTTTAATGTTAACTAAACTTTTTTCACGTTTTAAATTTCTCTGTCCCAGAAATCCGCATTTCCCTCCTAAACTTACATGAATTAAAGATTTTAAAATTTTGTCATCCGCTCATATTTTTCTTAAGTCAAATTTTTTGAATTTCAACGTTCCCTGAAAAGCTTTTAGATTACAATTCTTTGAAGCTGCTCATATATCTTAAATCTATATACAGATGTAATCTCTGCTTGTCTGTCTGTTTGTTTCTCCGATCATAACTGATGAACCCCTCGACCAATTTTCCTCAAATTCTGATTGGGGAACACGGGAGAACCACGGGGATGTTCTTTTCTTTGTTTGAGATTCTAAGTTGAGTGGGTCGACTTTTAACGGAAAAAAAGCTAAAATCGTAATTTACGACAAGGGGCGGGTAAACGTCGGGACCAACTATGACTCCTCTATGTTCACAAGCTAGTATTCAATATATGTTTTGTTTAGAATATGCATGAAGGGTTTCTACAGATCCCTGATACCCCCTACCAAGTCAGCAAGAAGATGTCTACTCTCAAGCAGAGTATGCGCAAGGTGGGTGTCTTTGTCTACAGCCGTCCAGGGACACCACGCTGAGACAGAAAAATTCAAATGACATCTTACATATTGTTTATACAAGTTAGGGAAAACATATCGATCTCTAAAATAGAATGCTCGTGAAATTATTCTTTCAATTAGTTTGGAGGTCATCGTTGTCAATTTGTATATTGGTAGAATTCCTTTGGAGTCAACCAAAAATAGTTCTGATGTGAAAATGGTCCGAAATTAGCGATTTTCGCCTCTCATTGGCTAGTCGGCGCTAGGATTGGATAACTTCCCCTGATTTAGGACGTTAAACCCGTCAAGCTTTTAAGTTTATTCAGTGGATCACTACCCAAGAGGTATCTAAAGCAAAAGTTTTGACCTTAGATCCAGTTAAAAAAATCACCTGCTTTTGTTTCTGAATATTTTCAGCAGTGCTTAGGGCCCATTTAATTTTGATGCGGATCAGGATCCGGCTCCGGATCCTGGATCCGCACTTGATCCTGATCCAGGTCATTTCCTTACTGGATTTTTTTAACAAAAAATAATTTTCAAATTTTGTTTAAAGTTTCTCGCTTATTTTTATCATAAAACTTGATAAACCATTCAGAAATGAGGAAATTTTTATAATCTCTTTTTTTTAAAGTTCAGATTTGGGGTTTAGGAGTAAAAAAGTTTTTTTTGCAGTTTTTGGTTGATATTTTACCCCTTGGATCATCTGGATCCAGGAAGCCAAAATCTTGCGGATCCAACGGATTCCGATCCGGATCTGGATCTTACGCACTGATTTTCCGCATTGAATTCAATATTTTTTCCTTTTTTTCATAATTTTCGTGAAACAAATGAAAGTATTTGATTGATTCTCATTGAAGAGTTTTACATTCGACAACACTTTTTAAATAACATTTGTTTAGGTTGAAGACGCCTGCTATGCGATCAATGTTCGTGGATCGGAGATACCGAAGAGTCATCTCGCCGATATATTCGAGAGATCGGCCGACGCCGAAGACGGTTACGAGTAGTAAATCCGCCAATGTTTTCAATATGTTTAAATTTCCGGTTTTATAAAAATTGTTCTTGTCGTTAAAACCGTAAATCGTAAACTGAATCGTGAAAATTGAATCAACGGCTAAAAATAAGCCGATTCTTACGTTTTTCTTATTCTAGATCACTACGTATTGTTCATGATTGATCCAGTGATTACCGGAACGGCTGTGATGAAAAATATTTGTCCAATTTTCACAAATGCTAAAAATGTAAATTGTAAATTTTTGATTCGTATATTTTTACTCTGCAATGCTGTTAGGTCAATTTGAACAGTTCTCTTTTGGTAAATTTTTAGATTTATTCTCTTTCCAGCAAAAGGGTTTGAATTAAAGAGCTGACCGTGAATGAAAATTCCGATTTTCTAGCGCCCCTTTCAAATTCTAAGCATTTTATTTTTGAAATTCTGTTGTGTTTTCAGATTTGAAGGAATAAAGATTTAGTTCTCGTCAAATTTTGTAAATTTTTGATTATTTTCTTCCACAATTGTTTTTTTTTTCAGCAATGAGAATAGATAAAATGGATAAGATTGAATCTATTGTCCCGAATTGTCCGTCTGGTCTCTGTATTTCCAAACAGGACTTCTTGAAACCTGATTTCTCCGTAGACAACTTCTTCATAGAGCAGAGTGTGAAGGACACCCCCTTGGACACGCTCAGAGATGATCTAGGAATATATCTAAAGGTAAATTCCTTCTGACAATCCATTCCATCCGGATCCGGGTACATATTCGGCCGGATCCGGGTGCATATTCGGCCGGATTCGGGTCCATTCTAATTGGATCTAAATCGAAATTTGGTTCCATACCAGATCCATATCCAGATTTAGCCCTTAATCAGATTATTATCGTTTTCTCTTTTTTTCACAAAATTTTCATTTTATTGGTTTCTATTTATTTTTACGGGAAAAAGCCTTCAAAATTGAAATATATGGGTTAAACCCATTAAACAGGAAGTCGGGTGTTGGGGTCTTAAAAACATAAGAAAAATGTAATTTTTTCATTTGGGCCTTTGTTGTTAACCTGCTTTATTTTCTAGGTATTAAGATCGAGTATGATTGAGCTGATTAACGACGATTATGCTGATTTTGTGAATCTTTCCACTAATCTGGTTGGGCTGGACTCCAGTATTGTGAAGCTTCAGGAGCCTCTTATTAAGTAAGATTTAAACGCCAGACGATGTAAGTGGAGGAAATATAAATTATAAGCTAGCTTTTTTAATATCATACTTGAATCAGTTTATAGTCTAAATTCGTCATGTTAATGTCTCTAGTCAAATTATAACACAACGACTACATCTCTATTCAAATTATAACACAACGACTACATCTCTATTCAAATTATAACACAACGACTACATCTCTAGTCAAATTGTAACACAACGACTACATCTCTAGTCAAATTCTAACACAACGACAACATCTGCAATCAAATTGTAACACAACGATTACATCTCTAGTCAAATTATAATACAACGACTATCTCTAGTCAAATTGTAACACAACGACTACATCTTTAGACAAATTTAACACAACGACTACATCTATAGTCAAATTGTAACACAACGACTACATCTATAATCAAATTGTAACACATCGACTACATCTCAATTCAAATTGTAACACAACGACTACATCTATAGTCAAATTATAATACAACTACTTCCTCTCTTGTCCTCTCTTGTCCTCTCTTAAAACAGCGATTATATCTCTTTTCCCTGAAAAAAGGTCCTCTATTTTCNCTTTTTGCACTCAAAACAGTGTTTGGCATGCCTTCCCGCAAATACAGAAGGATACATTATAATATATAGTCCGCGGACTACAAAAGGAAGTAGTTTCAGGAGACTTCAGAGAATGATACTGAACTATACAGGACAGAGGGATACTGTATAATATATAGTCCTTTAATTGGGACTACAGTTGACTTCAAAGGGGAGTAGTCTCAGGAGACTACTCAGGACTTCAGAGAGAAATACAGAATTTTACAGAGGGATACATTTCAGTATATAGTCCTTGAATTGGGACATGTAGTAGACTTAAATTTAATATAAAATAACATCATTTTCAATGCGGGGGGGGGTAAAAATCGCCCAAGGGGGGCCAAACAATATTTCGCGCTTCGCGCGAAAACTTGCCTGACTTTAACTATTTTAATTTAAAACTAATCTAGAGTCCAAACTGAAGTTGAACTAGCGAGCAAAGGAATTGAATCAACACTAAACACTGTGAAAACTAAACTAGAGCAACAAGCAGCTATAAGGTACGCTAGGTTTTTTTTTGTGTAAAATATTTCGTGGTTCGGGGTTTATGCATAAATGTAAAAAAATTATTTATTTTGTTCCAAAAACGTAATATTTCTTGAAAAGATGTTGGTATAAAGCTTAAAAGCTATTTCTCTAACTTTAATTTATAATAATTTATACTTTTTAGGGAAAAGAAAGAGAATTTGTCTAGCTTACAGCATATTTGGGAAACATTGGGCAAAATCGAGCGTATGCTTGCAAAAGAAACGCAAGGTAAAGTAACGTTATAAATCTGAGTAATTTTTATCCTTTTCAACTTTTTTTCATTTTCTAGTTTTTTTAAAGTATTAAGATTTTTTTTAAAATTTACATTTCATTATTTTTCATTAAAATTTTTTTTTTTACTAAGGTGATGCTTGTATTCCTACCGATGTTGCTGAAAGAATAGCCTCTGATGTAAATCATCTTCTCTTCTCTGTTTCAAAGATGAAGGTATTACATCTTGAACACGTTTAACTTTTAATTTATTTTATTTTAAGACTGGTTTATTTAGGAGTCCTGTATGATTCAGGAGATGCAACCTAGGATAGATATGGTTTGTGATAAACTTAATTCTTCCCTTGATCTTAGTCTTATTCAGGGATTACAGGTCAAATTTATACTCTAAGTAATGTAGGTTTATAATACAGGGAGTCCCACGAAACATGACAATAGGAAGACGACTTGAAAGTCGTCTTTGGTATTCGAATTTATTTGTGACATTCAGTCTTCTATCTACTTTAACGTGCATGATTCTTGAAACAATTATCACATAATTCTCCTAGCCCTGGCATTTCCAAAAAGTGGTCTGCGTTTTTTGTGCTTTCAATATTACCGGAGATATAAAGAGTTTGGTTAAGATTTCAATTTTGTGAAATAAAATCAAAATTGTCGAAATCTGAACGAAATTCTTCATATCTCGGGCAATATTGAAAGCACAAAAAAGGCAGACCACATTTTGGAAATGGCAGGACAAGGGAAATTTTGTGATTATTATCTCTAGAAATTTACTTCTAAAATTAGATTGATAAATAAACGCAGCAAATTATATCAAAAATCAAGACGACATTCAAGTCGTCCTGCATACTGTCATGTTTCGTGGGACACCCTGTATTACAAGGCTCTCTGGGCGCTGCGCGGCCATCTTCTATTTCAATTGTGAACATTTTCTCTTTGTATACACTATACATTGTAAAACAAAAACAAAAAGTTCGCGGATTTTACAAAAAACATCGTGGATTTTCAAAATTTACTGAAAATATAATTTGAGGGATGGAAATTTTTGAAATTTTGATTATTCACAAACCAATTTCCTGGAGTCATATGATCTGTTCCCGATAAGTTCAGCCGTTTTTACGTTTATTGATTACAAACAGACACAACAGACACCCAGACAAGCTAAGTATCTACGTATATATATACGTTATTGTGTGTCTATCTTCTTTTTTGTGTGTTTGTATCCAATAAAACGGCTGAACCGATCGGGCCAAAATATTTTGTGGGATCTCGCGTGACCCCAGGGAAGGTTAATGGATGATTGAATTTTCAAAAATTTGCCTCTAAACGAAATTCGATTTTCGAGAAAAAAAATTTTTAATCCCCACCATTTTTTTAAATCCGCGAACTTTTTTTTACAGTGTGTACAAAGAAGACATGTTCACAATTGAAATAGAAGATTGATGCGAAACGCCCAAAAACCCTAGTATATAAATATAGACTTATTATTGTATAGCTAAATAAATTTTTTTGTTTTTTACTAGATCTGTATTAAATTCCAGGCCTTTAAAAAGTCGAAACTTTGTAAAGTGAGTTCTAAAACTACTGCCATATTTCTGTAATATTTGAAAAAGGATTTATTAATTGATTGATTGATTGATTAGGAAGGGAAGTGTGTGAATATATCCCAGTGCTGCCGAATTTATGCAACTATTGACCGAATATCCTGTGCAGAACAATTAGGTGAAAATAATGAAAAAAATTAAATGAATAAATTAAAAATCAAAAATCAAAAATCAAAGAATGAAAGAAAAAAGTTCTAATTTATTTTTTTTTAGTCCGGGAGAAGGTTGTTAACCCTGTACTGAAAACTATTCTCACAGAATCCTGCCTAGGAACATTTAAATATTTAATTACATTTTGTTTTCAATTATTAAACCTTCAACTTAGTACTCATCACTATAGTTTCAGTAGAAGTAAATATTTACATTTACATTTTGTTGAATTATTGAGAACTAGCTGAAGCTGAAAAAAAAATTTTAAAGAAAAAATACATTTGAATTTTTAAAAATAAATTTATTTTGGAAAAAAAGTTCGAATTTCTTTTTTCCTATGTCACTGGGGTATCCATGGGTTTCCTTAAAAAAAATCAGCGTTCGTCCCACTGCGCTTTGTCGTAAATTAAGATTTTAACTATTTTTCCCAAGACAAGACGATCCACTTAGAATCTTAAAATCAAGCTAAGAACATTCTCATAGTCTTCCCGAGTTTCCCAATCAAAATTTGAGGCATATTTGTCCAGGGGAAGAGCGGACAAACAAACAAACAAAACTTATACATAGATGTAAAAAAAACTAAATTTGTTTAACATTGTTACTCCCCGGGCCCCATGGGTTCCCTCAAAATAATTTCAGCCCATTGGGTCCAGCCTTTTGGGCAGCTTTAGCTGACATAAAAATATATTAGCTTGGGAACTCAGCTCTGCCCAGGTTACTAAAAGTTACTAATGCTGTGTAACCTGGGCAGAGATTTTCCCATCCCATCCATTTTTACCGGGAAACTAAATTTTCGCTATTAAAGTTGACCTTTTCAATTCCGAATCCCAAAACCAAGCTAAGAACATTCCAGTGGGTCACCTGAGTTCCCCAATCAAAATTAAAGGGAAATCGGTCCAGGGGTTCCTGAGTTATGATCAGACCAACAATTAAACAGAGATTTACAACTTTATATAAATATGCATATTGCATACATACAAACTAGCTGAAGAAGTGATGAAAAAATTGGTTTTTAAAAAAAATTTAATTTTTTAGTCTATGTTACCCCCTAGATAGTAGGTACCCATTGGTTCCCTCAAAGAAATTTAGCCAATTTGGTCCAGCCGTTTGGCCAGCTATAGCTATTAGCTAACTATATATGAGCTAAGAGCTTTATTATATAGATAATTATTAGTAGTTATTTTTTCAAGGATTTTTGATGAGTTTCTGAAACAATGATAATTAAATGTTGTTGAATATTTAATGTGTTGTATAGAGAATGATGCGCAAGGTTTACGAGGTGTATACCAGCTGGTTCTACAAACTATACCTCAATACCTCTCACAGTTAGGTAATTTAAACATTATTGACAAGGTGTATACAGCTGGTTCTACAAACTATACCTCAATATCTCTCACAGTTAGGTAATTTAAACAACATTGTCGAGGTGTATACAGTTGGTTCTACAAACTATACCTCAATATCTCTCGCAGTTAGGTAATTTAAACTACATTGACGAGGTGTAAACCAGCTGGTTCTACAAACTATACCTCAATATCTCTCACAGTTAGGTAATTTAAACATTATTGACAAGGTGTATACCAGCTGGTTCTACAAACTATACCTCAATACCTCTCACAGTTAGGTAATTTAAACAACATTGACGAGGTATATACAGCTGGTTCTACAAACTATACCTCAATATCTCTCACAGTTAGGTAATTTAAACTACATTGACGAGGTGTAAACCAGCTGGTTCGACAAACTATACCTCAATATCTCTCACAGTTAGGTAATTTAAACGCCCACAACCAACAACATTTTTCGATGGGTTTATACTTTTAAACAAAAATTTTAATGGCTTTGGAAAAGGTTGATAGTAGTCGCTCTACTTTGTTATCCCTTTATTTTTGCAACTTAATAGTCTATATGTTTAAGTTGAACCACTTTTGCGCCGGCTAAAGTTGATTTTAAGGGGTTCAACTTAGTCTTTGCGATTCAACTTTGATTTGGTTCGAATAAAATATATTCCCAGAGTATTCTTTATTGAAAAATAGTGTCTTTTAAACGTTTAATTTTAAGCAAACAATAAAGAATTAGACTTACTCTCTCTCTTTCTCTTTAAAATTTATTTTTTATTAAAAAACAGCAAATTAAAGTCTTAAGAGATTGCGGTGCCAATGACAACACCCCCCCCCCCTTCTCAGTTATGGGGCTCAAGGGAACTGTAAGAGTAATTTCAAGTGACCCTGGCAATACCCGATTGTAAACAGCTTCCTCGAAAGCTTTGTCTGATCAAGTATGTACTGAATCTTTCTGTTTTTTTTTTCCTTTAAACTATTTATTGGGGGGGGTTAAGAAAACAAATACTAATGATAATATCTGATATTTAAATGTTGAAATTTTAGTTTTATATTTTCCCCGGGAAACCCCCAGGAGTTCTTTAAGTACTACAATGATTCGGTTTATTTTCTCAGGAACAGGATTTTAAACTTATTCTATTATTTTTTTCTTCTATTTTTTTAAAGTCTGATATTCATTGGTTTAAAAACAACTGGAGCTGAAGTATATTTTTTAAAATTAAATTGTAAGAGAAATATTTCTTAAATGATTATGTATTTTCGGACGGGTTTTATTTTTATTTTAATTTTAAGAAAAATAAAGATTGAGACGAAATCAGTTATAATATCCTCTGTTTGTTAATAGTGAACTTGAGAAATATTTGGTAACAGAAGAAAGTGTTCTAAGGCTCAGGTAAGGCTTGTTCCAATTTTAACAGTTTCAAGATTCATTGAAATTGAAATTAACTTTTCGTGAATTAAAGGGGATGGTGGAGATTTCATGTTTGATGTAAAGGGGGGGGGGGCTGCCTTCAGTTTTGGTTCAAATCTTCCAATTTTTAGGCTGCACTCCTAATTAGTGATCGAAATTCCAAAAATAAAATAAAATTGAATTTAATGACCTCTAATGACCTCCACAAATAGAAAATATTTCAACAACGGCTTTATGCATATCAAACAAAAGCTAGGAACCCAGGGAATACAGTAGCAGCAACAAATCCAGTGTTTGACCTTCTAATGACCTCTTACGACCTCTAATGACCTAAATGACCTCCAAAAATGAAAATGTTTTAACTATGGCTTTATGCATGATGAAACGAAAGCTAGGAACCCAGGGAATACAGGAGCAGCAACGAATACAGTGTTTAACCTTCTAATGACCTCTAATGACCTAAAATGACCTCTAAAATGAAATGTTTTAACTATGGCTTTATGCATATTAAACGAAAGCTAGGAACCCAGAGAATACAGGAGCAGAAACGAATCCAGTGTTTAACCTTCGAATGACCTCTAACGACCTCTAATGACCTAAAATTACCTCCAAAATAACAATGCTTAAACTATGGCTTTATGTATATGAAACGAAAGCTAGTAACCCAGGGAATACAGTATCCTATTATCACAACAATATTATTATTTTATATATCTTTGAAGTTTACCTATTGCTTAAATGGTCTTATTATAAAAAATTATGAATTTTGGTAGGTTCAACTACTTTCAAATTGAAAAACCAAAAAGCTCCCCCCCCCCAAAAAAAAAACAAAAACAATAAAACCCAATAAAACCCTATATAACCCTATATAACCCTATATAACCCACTGGATTGTTTTTTTTAACGGATTTTATCCAACCCTGCTTAAAGGACTTGCAAGTGGTCTACCATGTAAAGATGTGATGCCCCATTCACAACAGTAGTATCATAAAAACTGAATTTTTGTTATTGTTTCTCCACAAGAGTGACTTGCGCAAATGCGCATTTCCACTGTAGGAAAACATCAGAATTAAACACTTTTAAGCCTAGAGAAACGACAACATCTTCCACAATTTTTGATGAGATAAAGGTTTCAAGTGTACCGTTGTGAATCGGGCATTGTTATCTTTGCATGGAGGGTCACTTGGAATTACACTTTCAGTCCCTTTTAAGCAAAGATTTTGTTTTAATCCAACTGAGAGTCTTTGTTCCAGGAACCAGCCTAGCTATATAAAGTTCCATGAGAGCTGGAACCTGGCAGTATATTTCCAGATTAGGTTCCAGGAGATTGCAACGCCGTTCGAACTCTCGCTAGGAACACAGATGTACTATTCTTATTTCGCATAAAGAAATTTTATCTGTTTTGAAAAAACGATTCACCGACAAAGGGTCAAACGACAAAGGGTCAAACGACACAGGGTCAAACGACACAGGGTCAAACGACAAAGAGTCAAAAAAATGCGACAAAAGGGCACATTTTTTTTTAATTTTGACGGTTATTATTTTTTTATTATTATTTAAGGTTAGGTTAGGTACATTCTGGGCCGAGCGCTGCGCCTAGAACAGACTGGGGAGCCGAGCGCTGCGGCCACGGGTTAGGTTAGTTAAGACACTTTCTGGCCCGAGCGCAGCGGCTAGGACAGGCTAGGGGGCCGAGCGCTATTTTCTGGGCCGAGCGCTGCGGCTAGGACAGGCTAGGGGGCCGAGCGCTGCGGCAACATGGTCAATTATATTGCCAACCCGACCATTATGGAAGCCAGAATCAGACTAAAGTTTTAAATCTTCAAAAAAGTTTGGCGGATTTTTGTGATTAAAATTGCGAGTTTCCTATGATTCAAATCAAAAAATATTTTTATCATATTGACCTTTTGTCGTTTGACCCTTTGTCGCACTTTTGACCCTTTGTCGTTTGACCCTGGGGCGTTTGACCCTTTGTCGGTGAATCGAAAAAACAGACCGCTTTTAAAGTTAAACTGAAGATGGGATTTTAAGTGCTTCTCCACTTCTATCTGTGGATTGGCATGTCCGATTCACAATCACAACATTATTTCCCTTTAAAACTTTATCTGAATGACAATGAGGAGGACGTCGTCTTTTTTATCTGGAAAAATGTTGAATGATCAATATTTGTTTCATTGTCGCTGCAGCAAAAAAATCGCAAGCTACTTATGATTTAAGAAAAAAAAACTGATTCTGAAAATAATCAATTTTAAAGTATTAAAAAAAGAATTTCTCATTAGTTTTTGAAAAGAAATAGGTTAATAGGGTAAAAGATGTGAATCGTACATTCCACGTTTTCAGTTGCTTAGTTATTTTTAAGAAAATAGAATTTAACCTCTGTTGTAAAGGAGGTGATATGCTGGAAAGAGCAGAGTTTAGTGACCCTAAACTCTTCCTGCGCTGCTCGGAGCAATTACTGTCAGCGCTGCGGAACTGTTTCGACCAGCAAATATTTCTGCTGCCACTAGCGGACAAGTTCTTCAAGCTAGCCCTGCAGATTATATCAAGGTTATTTAATGCTTAGGATCCTGATTCGTTAGATCCGCAACATTTTGGCTTCCTAGACCGGGATCCGGATTCGAAAAAATATGCGGATCCACGGAGTAAAACATTAATCAAATATCGAAAAAAAAATTCTTTTTGCACTCAAAACCCTTTTTTTGCATTGACGAAAAAAGATAGATTATCAAAAATGTCCTTTTCTCTGAATGATTCATCAAGTTTGAGCACAAAATATACGAAAAAAAGAAGAAAAATAAGTTTATGTTTTTCCTTTGATAAACAAATTAGAAAATCTTAAAGAAATATTCAAGCCCTGGATCCGGATGCGCATCAAAATGTAATGATCCTAAGCACTGTTTCAAGGTGTATCTGATGAATTCAATTTTGAAAAATGTACAACAGTACACACAGTACTAGAATAGTGTTCTTGTGACACATTTTAAGAAGGCTAAACGAAATCGTACAGGAGTACAGTGTTTATTTACAATAGTTCACACTACACACAGTACTGGAATAGTATTCTTGGGACACATTTTAAGAAGGCTAAACGGAATCGCACAGGAGTACAGTGTTTATTTACAATAATTCACACTACACACAGTACTAGAATAGTGCTGTATGGACTCATTTTAAGAAGGCTAAACGGCATTGTACAGGAGTACAGTGTTTATCTACGATAGTTATTATCTCTAGATACCGAGTTTGGGCTGGTCGCTGTGTTGACCTCTATGAGAAGGAAAAGGAGGAAACTAAGAATAAAATTGTGAAATCTGTTACTTCTAAGGATCTTTTAAATATTCAGGTATATTAAGCATCTAGGGGCATACCGACTATGTAAGGTAGTTGAACTGAGAATGCAGTGTTGTGGACAAATTCTTAAGGATTCATTTGAGACATAATATACTTTTTAAAGATCTGTAAATCCTGAGTTTGAGCGCAAAGTCGACTTTCAAAATCGTACTTTTTCGGTGGATACGTTTTCAGAATTGTTTTTTTTTAAATTATGTGAGCAAAATTCTACAGTAAACTAATTAGTTGGTTAGAAACAGGTTGAGCAAATGAAAATTAATCTTATCATCGAACATAAGTAATCTTATTGAATTATTAATTTCTTACTATAATCTCTTATTATTCACAAAGATGTTCTGCTGATTTTCTGGAATTCTTATTGAAAAGACAACATTTGAAGAATTTGTAGAAACTGCAAATAAATTCACAGAAAATAAAAAATTCAATTTAATGATGTAAACGCAATAATTAATTCTAACTTTGATTTATTTTTCGTCGCCGTTATTTTATAATTTGAAAACAGGATTCTGAAAACGTACCCACTCAAATTCATTATTTTGAACGTCGACTATGTACTCAAACTTAGTGATACATCGTAGAAACGTTATATATACTCAGTTTAAATACCTCACATAGCCGGTCTGTCCCTTTAAAATCTTAATGCGTTTGTTAAGTACAGAGATATGTGTGTGTTAACTTATCGAAGCCTTCGTGTATTCGGGCTCCAATTTACACAGTGCGCTGTGTTGAGTTCCTTGTGTGCGTAGTGCACACTGGAAATTGCACTTGCAGCTGAATACAAGAGGGGTTCGATAAGTTTACACACACATGTCTGTTTTAAGAGTACCGTTGTAAATCGGTTGCATGGAGGGTCACTTTGTTTTTTGCTTCCTTGTGTCTTCATATTTTGTTTCTTTTTAAGGTTTTCTTTGAACTTTTTGTGAAAGAGGGGGGTGGGGCGGTAACTTTTATAACTATACGTCTGAGCTCTCTGAGCAAGGTTATAATGCAAGGAAAGTTAATCAGTTGCGTATACACTTCGTACATATTGAAACCAGTTCTCTCTCGGCAGATTTTGTAAACAATAGTAGATATATCAGTGTTCGTTTAGTATCCGAGGAGGATAAAAGCATTGAATTTTGAAAATTTTGATAATTCACATAATATTTTTTTATTACCAGAATGTTTCATTGATTTTTTTATGTGAATGATGGATCCCATGTCCGGCTGTGACATCCGTCTTTTGTTTACATTACCCTCCAGAGACACTACACTGCAGCACAAAAGATGCGTACACCTCTGAAATAACTTTCCTTGCATTATAACCTTGCGTCTGAGGATATTCAAATCACTATGACCTGAATCCAATATTTTCGGTAGTCTGAGAGGGCGCATAAACGATCTAGTTCCGACCAGAACCTTCTAGAACTTGACAAGACGGAAACTTCCAAGATATCAATCACTCTCAGGTATTTTTAGTTGATTTTATCACTTGTCAGTCCCACCTTTTACCCGCTCTTTGTCGTAAATTACGATTTTAGCTATTTTTCCTGTAAAAATATACCCACTCAACTTAGAATCTCAAAACCATTCCATTTGGGTCTACCGAGTTCCCCAACCTAAATTTGAGGCAAATCGGTCAAGGGGTTCCTGAGTTATAATCGGACAAACAATAAAACAGACAAACAGAGATTACAACTTAATATATATAGGTTATAGATAATGAAAACAAATAAAAAGATTTCTTGTTATGTAACAACTTCTGAATCCAGACCGTACGCTGCATGTAGATGCGCTGCGCCCTGAAGGTCGTCTGGGGCTAGAACGCCCAACTCAGATATACGCATATTACGTACTGTACACTGTGGGAGGAACGTAGACAAACCCAGTGCCCCCACAGAAATTGAAGGGAAAGGACTACAGCTCTGATGTGATATTACAGTCCAACAAAAAACAAGTTAATATATCAAGTTAGAATATTTATGATTTTTGGCTTTCTGGTCAATATGAAAAATACAATAGCAATATATTCTTATTCCACCCCTTGGGCCCTTTTCCCTCAAAAATGATGCGTTGCCCCTGAATTCTTTGTTTTGATCTCCTCCTACTGCAGTACACAGATTTAACTTATGAGATATGGCGGTTCCTGGTCTATACATTTCTTGTTCTGGGGGTTTCATGTCGGGTTCCCTTTTAGTATTATTATTATTATTATTAAAATAATTAATTTAATGTGTTAACGGGCTGGGTCATTTCTCTAATACATAATTGGGTGCGAAAAAAGTGGGAATACATTCTTTCTTGATCTGCTTCATGACCATATTTTAGATACAATACAGTTCAAAAGTTAATATCCAGATAATATTATTAAAATTGTAAAAGATATTGTTTTATGATTTTGGATAATATTTATTTAGTAATTTGGTAATGATATATTCTGATACTGTTCTGCTCTGCTCCCTGCTCCCTAGCTTGCTCTCAGAGCTATTCTACTCTGCGCTGGGAAACCAAGAGATAAATATCGAGAACGCTATCGGTAAATAATTTCCTTAAATCTAGAGTTGATGGTCTAATAAGTGGAACTCAATAGATGTGTGCGTGTTTCTACTTTTTAAAGGTTCCAGAAAACTAGATCAGAAGTTTTACAAATTTTAAAATTATTATTATTATTATAAAGATTTATTCACACACAAAGATATAAATACATATATAAATGGTGTAGTTTAAATTTGTTTAAATGATTTAAATATATAGTTTTACAAAAGAAAAAAGAAAGAAAAAAATGCAAAATTATGCGAATAGGCGACATTGATCATTACTCATTCAAAATATATTTATCATTTTAGTTATTACGTAATCATCGAATCCTTCAACATATAATTTATTCGTTCTTGTATTTAAAAATTCTTGTAAAACCGACACTTTCCATGATCCAATGGGATTGGGACACCAAAATATTTCAGTTTGTTATTATTCTAAACATTTGCTATTCTTACATTATTTTGACCCGGAGAGAAAATATATGCATGCAAAAAAAACGAAACAAAAACGAGTGTTAAAGTTTTCGTTTGTGTTTCGTTTTTCCTTTTTTTTTAGGACAAAATATTGCAATATTATCAATTATATCTATTCAAAATGCAAAATAAAAGTTAAAAAGTTATAATAGGAGCAAACATGAGATTCTCAGGCTCCTGTGGGATATAATCGTTTTCAGATTGGTTTCGTATTTGTTGGACATGATCTGTTTAATAATACAACTTTTATACCAAATTGCATATATATGAATGTTCGTATAAATTTGACAAAGTTTTATATCAATTTCTCGAGACAGGAACATCAGAAAAAAGTCTTATATATATCGTTCAACGCCTGAGATTCTCAGGTTTCATCCTATACCCCCATTCATTTTTCCTTTACAGTCCCTTTAATATACCTCCTTTCATTTTTCCTTTACCGTCCCTTTAAGAACGTAACTTTTAGTGACTCTCCAGTTATAAAGTGACATCTCCGATTCAAATCAGAACCTTTAACCATTGCCTGATCAATTAAAAACGAGATATCCAATTTTTTCTTGTTAAAAATTGATTATTTGGAAATGGTGGTTCTCTGGTTACTTGCGAATTCATGGTAAAAAGACAAAATTGTCTAAATTCAGATGGAAGAACGACGATATATTCCTTATGTCAAATTATATTAAATATTTAGATGCGAGTATCCGGGATCTGGAGAGTATTCTGTCTAGTATAGAACAGAAGATTATCCTAGGGGGTGGACTAGATCCTACTAAACTAGTTAAACAGGTATAATACAGAATATATTGTTCAGGTATCTGATATGCCCAGAATATATTGTTTAGGTATCTGATATAGCCAGAATATATTGTTTAAGGTATCTGATATACCCAGAATACATTTTTTACTGTTTAGGTATCTGATATACCCAGAATATACTGTTTCGGTATCTGATATACCCAGAATATATTGTTTAGGTATCTGATATACCCAGAATATATTGTTTCGGTATCTGATATACCCAGAATATATTGTTTAGGTATCTGATATACCCAGAATATATTGTTTCGGTATCTGATATATCCAGAATATATTGTTTAGGTATCGGATATACCCAGAATATACAGAAGGACTAACAGAGAAACTCCCACCAAACCATGTCAATACGTCATTGCCCTGGTAGACACCCTTACAGAGTTCAGACAACAGCATCAGCCCTTCTGCTCCCAGCAGAGTATGGAAAAATGGTTGGCGGGTATAGTGGAGAATATTCTAACCCAGTATCTTGTCAATGTAACTGATGTACTTAACAATGTAACAAAGGTAAATAATCTAGTTGCGCATTTTTATGTACAGTTAAAACCAGAACTTCGGGGTCATCGAAAGAATTTATAAAATATCGTTTTCTAAATCTACTGATAATAAATGCTGGAGATATTTTGTTTCAATTGAAATAATTTTATGGAGCTCTTAGCTGTTCCCACATATTTAATGGCTATTCATCTGTTCTCAATTATTCAGATTTGGGTATAATAGTATAAAACCCATTAAATTAAAAGACGACATTTTATAAATTCTTTCAATTTCTCCAAAGTTCTGGGTTATACTGTACGTTCTTTGCTCATTTCTTAGTGGCTTAACTTAATATTCGTCGCATAAACTTTTGAAGGGAGTAAATCAGCCTAATTAGAAATGATCAAAGCAATGGTGATGACTGATGACCCATTGNGGATGGGGGGGGCTAAAAGACTGATTGAGTTTATATCGAGAATTAAAATACAAAAGTTTTATCACAGATGGAGGAAAGTTTACGTAAGCTGAAGAAAGTGCGTGAGCGTGGAGGTGCTGGGGCTGGGCAAGGCGCTGGTAAAGCTGGTGGTGGACTCTCTGATGATGATAAAATTCGTCTTCAAATTTACGTTGATGTTATGTTTTTCTCCAGGTAGTAATCAATTAAACAAACATTTTTAAATGGTTCAGATAAAATAATAGTATTAAACACAACATTTATTAAATCGGTATAAACAATGAGAATCCAATTAGAACAGACGCCTCAACAGCTACAGTTTTAATGTACAGTAAACATGATTTTTTTCTTCAGGGAGGTAGAAAGCTGGGGTGTCAAAGAGTTGAAGAATTTAGAAGAAATAAAATCTGTTGTACATGGCGCTGCCGGGGCCTTTGCACCACAGTACAGTACATAATAAGAAGCATGTGTACGGTGAACACTGAACACACTAGTGGTCAAGGTTATATAATAAGGTTGCTAACTCTTGATGCGCTCCAATGTACGGGAAATGTCGTCTCCTAAGCATATATAGATAAAATCCTTTTATGACATCACAGATCCCTACTCTCGACTCTAGTATTAGTGACATCATCATATACAGATTTTATCTATCTATGCTTAGGAGACGACATTTCCCCTACATTGGAGCGCATCAAGAGTATGCAACCTTATTATATAACCTTGCTAGTGGTAGACCTTTAAGTACAGGGTGTCCCACGAAACATGACAGTTGATAAATAGTTTAAAATGTCGTCTTCCAAATGATAAGATTTAAAGACTTTTTGCAGTTTAGTTCGTAGAAAAATCTTTTACTCTATGCTATATAATGTTTATTATTATTCTCTTTAATATAAAAAAAAACTTAACAAATTATGGAAGAAGACATTTTAGAATATTCACCAAATGTCATGTTTCGTGGGACACCCTGTAACAAAATATAAATCAAATAGATTTTAAAAATACATGTTATCCGTGTTCTGTAAACAGTATTATTTTTCGTTAAAATGCAATGCACGAAGAGCCTTTTAAAAATAAAAAAGCTAATATGACAGATTTTAACAATTTTTTTTACTGTTTTTTTTGCAAGTTTGTGTAAAATTAAGAAAAATTAGTTCTCTTCATTTAATTTATATGTTTTTATTTGTTACACTACCTACAGTGAGAAGTTCTCTGTGATTGATATTGTAATTTAATCTTGCTACTCACCCCCCCCCACCCCTCCTCCTCACATGGTCACCTCCCCTACTACTACTTCAGTTACCGCATACTTCTTGTTCAAAATTTTATTGTAAAATTTAATTAATGATAAATAATTGTTGTATATTTGAATTATTTTATACAGTTTTGTTTTAGCAATCCAGTGTGATATCTACTGCACGATATAAATAAAATTTTATATATTTTTGTGAGAAAAATTTTCTTTTCAGAAGAAAATTATAAAATGTGTCAAATTAAATATGCTTTCATTACTGTGATATTAACACTGGGAGCTGAACCCGGAAAAGGTATTATTATTACTTTTATTATAATTTTCAAACTAAAGTTAATTGCTTGTATGATAGTAATCGTATAGTCTGCTGATACTTGCGTAAAATCAAAACTAGAGGCGCTACGATGTAACAACGTTGTACCGTCTCCCTCTGTCTGATTTCCACTGCATTGCCCATGGATAGTTTTGGTGGCTAGGAGCGCTGAACCCTATTTAAAATAATGAAGTCTAAATTTAAATAGTGTTTGATATTTTTATAGAAATATCTCTTTTTGTTCTCACAAAAGCACACAAAGACATATTCTATTGTTTTAATTTCTTAATCATGATTTGATATATCAGGCTTTTAGGACGCTTCCCGCCCATCTTCTATTTATCAGGCTTTTAGGACGCTTCCCGCCCATCTTCTATTTCAATTGTGAACATGCTCTCTTTGTAATATATAAAAAAAAACTAAAAAAAATCGCGGATTTTATAAGAAAATTTTTTTGGATTTTCAAACTTTTCAAAAATAAAATTTTGTCCGAGGCAAATATTGAAAATTCGATCATCCATAAACTTTCCCTGGGGTCACGCGAGGTCCCACAAAAAATGTAGGTACCGTTGTAAATCGGACATTGCCATCTTTGCATGGAGGGTCACTTAAAATCACGCTTACAGTCCCTTTAAGAAGCTGTTAAGTAACACATTTAACCATAAGGTTTAAGCAAGGTTTACCTCAGGGAAGTTTATTTATGGCATCTTCATTTTTTTATATGTTTAGGTGGGACTAAAGAGCAGAAGAAGTATATACTGTTATGTTTAGGTGAGACTAAAGAGCAGAAGAAGTATATACTGTTATGTTTAGGTGAGACTAAAGAGCAGAAGAAGTATATACTGTTATGTTTAGGTGGGACTAAAGAGGAGAAGAAGTATATACTGTTATGTTTAGGTGAGACTAAAGAGCAGAAGAAGTATATACTCTTATGTTTAGGTGAGACTAAAGAGCAGAAGAAGTATATACTCTTATGTTTAGGTGGGACTAAAGAGCAGAAGAAGTATATACTGTATGATGTAAATCCTGGAGAAGGTTTCAATCTCAGGGAATAAAACAACTAAGATCATCTCATAAACTTTTAAGCAAAATGATTTTTTCTTCAAAACTTAAGCAACCACCTTTGATATTTCAATTTATGACTTTTGTACTTGCAAAATTTACAGTTTTAATTACTAAATATCCACGATATCCGGGACCAAATATCGAGAATCTGCAGGATTACCTACAGGGTGTCCCGCGAAACTTGACAGTAGCAAGATTCTTGAAATAATTTGCGATTCCAGTAAAATTTAATGAAACTTTTAAGACTTTAATACTTTACCTTGTTAAAATTTGCTTTTATTAAACTGCAATATCTTTATCATAAAAACATGTAAAAATTATCCGAAAACGATAGTTCCAACACCTTCGTTTTGGGGTCGTTTTGGGGTCGTTTTTGGGGTCGTTTTTGCAGATATATTTTGCCAGAGTCACAATGAAAGAAAAACAAGTGTTTAAAAATAAACAATTAAGAAAACAATATCTTTTAATATGCCAGATGACTCTGAAAGGAAATATAGGCAAAAACGAACCAAAAATTAACCAGCTGAAAACTTTAGTATGGTGGATATCGAGATTAAAGATTGATTCTCTCTTTTTCTTAATATCGAGACTAACCTAATCTTGTACTTTTATCCTGAAAAGTGTATAAAATTCAACCAATCAGAGTCCCGTATATGAAGCCGATAAATTTAAAATTTTGTGCGCCATTTAAAATTATAAACAGAAACGGGAGGGAATTTAAAAAACCGGTTTTTAATTTTTCTCTTCTATATCCAAGAAAGAACGGGTTAAGAAGAAAATCAAGTGTGTCCATTGGATACTCAGATTAAGTGATCGGAATTAAGGATATCTCATTCTAAAGTTTTTAGCTAAGCTGAATGCGAATCACTTATCACAACAACCTCTTGTCTAGACAACCCACCCCTTTATTCAGTGATAATACTTTCACCCCTTTACTGAAGGATGTGGGGGGGGCTGATATTCACCCCTTTACTGAGGATGTGGGAGGGGGCTGATATTCACCCCTTTACTGAGGATGTGGGGGGGGGCTGATATTCACCCCTTTACTGCAGGATGTGGGGGGGGCTGATATTCACCCCTTTACTGAAGGATGTGGGGGGGGCTGATATTCACCCTTTAGTGCAGGATGTGGGGGGGGGGCTGATATTCACCCCTTTACTGAAGGATGTGGGGGGGGGCTGATATTCACCCCTTTACTACAGGATGGTGGGGGGGCTGATATTCACCCTTTACTGAAGGATGTGGGGAGGGGGCTGGATATAATATATACTTTACAGGGTTACCCACAGAGGCGACTTTAGTGAAATTTTACTGTCTGATTCCTGATATTTATATGATTCCTTGCAACTGTGAACTTATTTCTTTCTTTGCACAATCAATAAATAAACCGTTAAGGCAGAAGATTTGACTCATCCAAGAGATCGTCATATTTGAACTGTTTATAGTGCTGGGGTCCATTTGATTTTGATGCGGATCCAGATCCGCATTCAGGAAGCCAAAATGTTGCGGATCCGGATCCTAATTACTAGTGTACGGTCATCTTTACTGTCTCATCCTTAATGGGTTGCCCTGTATGACAAATTATAATTATTCCTAATTTGTCTTCCCAAAAGTTGTTTCTGGTCCAGGAGAGACGTTTTTATGAGAATGGCAATAATGGTGAGAAAACTGAACATAGAGAATCCAGACACTTCATTTATTCTAGGAAATTATTAAGTTAGTTTGATAATTGGAATATACATTTCAAAATTTCAAAATTTCTCTCTTTATGTTTAGATAAACTTAATATTATCTTAAACAGATAATATTAATTGCACCATAAATATTATTAATATCAACATGATTTCATCTGATATCATATAAACAATAAATATTTAAAGAATATTTAAAATTTTTTGATTTAAAATGATTTATTGAAGTTAAAAATAATTTATTTATAAAAAATCAAACCTACATTAGTATCCATATGTGACCCCAATTAAGAGTGTGAAAATATGGTATTCTAAAAATTTTAAGATGAAAAATTGACTGAGGTTTAAAAATGAAATTAGGTTTTGCAATCACCTATTCTCGTAAGAACGATTTCCTCTTTTCTTAGTCCTCACTTTCTGTCTTTGTGTGTCGAAAAGTTTTTTTTTTAAATACAAAACTTAATTATTTGGTTAGTTCTGCCTCCTTGGGGACATCTTTACCACTGGCAGACAAGGGAGTTGGGACCTCAGAATAAAATACTCTGGAGCAAATTCTTCGATGTTCAGAGCATCAATTATTTTGTTCCTGTTATAGGTGAGAGTTCCTGTTATATAGGTGAGTACAGTTCCTGTTATATAGGTCAGTATAGTTCCTGTTATATAGGTCAGTACAGTTCCTGTTATATAGGTCAGCACAATTCCTGTTATATTGGTGAGTACCGTTCCTGTTATATAGGTGAGTACAGTTCCTGTTATATAGGTCAGTACAGTTCCTGTTATATAGGTCAGTACAGTTCCTGTTATATAGGTCAGTACAATTCCTGTTATATAGGTCAGTACAGTTCCTGTTATAAAGGTCAGTACAGTCCCCCGTTATATAAGTCAGTATAGTTCCTGTTATATAGTTCAGTACAGTTCCTGTTATATAGGTCAGTACAGTTCCTGTTATATAGGTCAGTACAGTTCCTGTTATATAGGTCAGCACAATTCCTGTTATATAGGTCAGTACAATATATTCCTGTTATATAGGTCAGTACAATTCCTGTTATATAGTTCAGTACAGTTACTGTTATATAGGTCAGTACAATTCCTGTTATATAGGTCAGTACAGTTCCTGTTATATATGTTAGTACAATTCCTGTTATATAGTTCAATACAGTCCCTGTTAAATAGGTCAGTACAGTTCCTGTTATATAGGTTAGTACAGTTCCTGTTATATAGGTTAGTACAATTCCTGTTATATAGGTCAGTACAGTTCCTGTTATATAGGTCAATACAGTTGCTGTTATATAGGTTAGTACTATTCCTGTTATATAGTTCAGTACAGTTCCTGTTATTTAGGTCAGTACAGTTCCTGTTATATAGGTTAGTACAATTCCTGTTATATAGTTCAGTACAGTTCCTGTTATATAGGTCAGTACAATTCCTATTATATAAGTCAGTATATTTCCTATTATATAGGTTAGTAAAGTTTCTGTTATATAGGTCAGTACAGTTTCTGTTATATAGGTCAGTACAGTTCCTGTTATATAGGTCAGTGCAGTTCCTGTTATATAGGTCAGTACAATTCCTGTTATATAGGTCAGTACAATTCCTGTTATATAGGTCAGTACAATTCCTGTTATATAGTTCAGTACAGTTTCTGTTATATAGGTCAGTACAATTCCTGTTATATAGGTCAGTACAATTCCTGTTATATAGGTTAGTACAATTGCTGTTATATAGTTCAGTACAGTTCCTGTTAAATAGGTCAGTACAGTTCCTGTTATATAGGTAAGTACAATTCCTGTTATATAGTTCAGTAAAGCTCCTGTTATATAGGTCAGTACAGTTCCTGTTATATAGGTCAGTACAATTCCTGTTATATAGGTCAGTACAGTTCCTGTTATATAGGTCAATACAGTTTCTGTTATATAGGTCAGTACAGTTTCTGTTATATAGGTCAGTACAGTTCCTGTTATATAGTTCAGTACAGTTCCTGTTATATAGGTCAGTAAAATTCCTATTATATAAGTCAGTATATTTCCTATTATATAGGTTAGTACAGTTTCTGTTATATAGGTCAGTACAGTTCCTGTTATATAGGTCAGCACAGTTTCTGTTATATAGGTCAGTATAGTTCCTGTTATATGGGTCAGAACAGTTCCTGTTATATAGGTCAGTACAGCTCCTGTTATATAGGTCAGTACAGTTCCTGTTATATAGGTCAGTACAGTTCCTATTATAAAGGTCAGTACAGTTTCTGTTATATAGGTTATTATAGTTCCTGTTATATAAGTCAGTACAGTTCTTATTATAAAAGTCAGTATATTTCCTATTATATAGGTTAGTACAGTTCCTGTTTAAGGTCTTCTTATCCAGGGAAAGATTCTGTTGGAATTAAAATTATTGATTTTTTTTATAGAATTTTCCGATTTTCTGGTTAAAGAAGGATACAGTATCAACACAGTTTACTATTTACAGGTAACATGATTCTATTAAATATTAATAACGAAACTAACCCATAACTCTTATCCTTATATTTCTTATAAATATGCAACCTGATGTCGTAGACTATGAATTCTGTGTAAGATCAAATAATAAAAGTTTGTAATATTGATTGTTTAAAAACCACCAGGATGTAAAGATGTTGGGATTAGAAAAATAAATTTTTATATTTATTACGTGAAGGTTAGAGATAGAGAGCATCCAACTGAAAACATTGAAACCTGATAAATGATCCTCTAAAACCCATGAAAAAAAAAATAAAATATAGGGATATAAAGGAGGTTGGACGGATGGAAAATATGAGGAGAAGTACAATATTACAGACTGTTTGAACGAGATGGTTTATCAGAAAGTGAGTAAATAGTTTTTGCACTTATTAGAATCTTTAGTCAAATATATATATGAGGGTATAAGTAGCAAATAGAACTTCTATTTTGCTAAATCTGGCAACTTTGCAAATTCCGGCAACTTTGCTAAATCCGGCAACTTTTCAAAATCAGGCAACTTTGCTAAATCCGACAACTTTGCAAAATCCGGCAATTTTGCAAAATCTGACAACTTTGCAAAATCCGGCAGTTTTGCAAAATCCGGCAACTTTGCAAAATCCGATAAGTTTGCAAAATCCGGCAACTTTGCAAAATCCGGCAATTTTGCAAAATCCGGCAACTTTTCAAAATCAGGCAACTTTGCTAAATCCGACAACTTTGCAAAATCCGGCAATTTTGCAAAATCCGACAACTTTGCAAAATCCGGCAGTTTTGCAAAATCCGACAACTTTGCAAAATCCGACAAGTTTGCAAAATCCGACAAGTTTGCAAAATCAGGCAACTTTGCAAAATCTGGCAACTTTGCAAAATCTGGCAACTTTGCAAAATCCGGCAGTTTTGCAAAATCCGACAACTTTGCAAAATCCGACAAGTTTGCAAAATCCGACAAGTTTGCAAAATCCGGCAACTTTGCAAAATCAGGCAATTTTGCAAAATCCGGCAACGTTGCAAAATCCGGCAACGTTGCGAAATCCGGCAACTATGCAAAATCTGGCAACTTTGCAAAATCTGGCAACTTTGCAAAATCCAGCAACTTTGCAAAATATGGCAATTTTGCAAAATATGGCAATTTTGAAAAATTCGGCAGCTTTTTAAAATCCGGCAACTTTGCAAAATCTGGCAACTTTGCAAAATCTGGCAACTTTGCAAAATCCGGCAACTTTGCTAAATCCGGCAACTTTGCTAAATCCAGCAGGAGAAAAGTCTTTAAAATAGCATTAAAGTATACTACAGGGTGTCCCACGAAACATAACAGTAGAAAGACGACTTTGAAGGTCGTCTTCTATCTTTGAAATAATTTGCGACATTTATTCGTAAACCAAATATTAGAAGTAAAATTCTGAGTTAATATTTACAAAATGCTTATTAAAGTCTTGGCATTTCCAAAATGTGGTCTGCCTTTTTTGTGCTTTGATTTTACCGGAAATGTGAAGAATTTTATTCAGATATCAACATTTTTGGATTCGATAAATAGAATTTAAATCTGAACGAAACTTACGGCATTTATTCGTACAGACGTAAACTAAATATTAGAAGTCAAATTCTCTGGTAATATTGACAGCACAAAAAAGGCAGAAGACATTTAGGAAATCCCAAGCCTAGGAGAATTTTGTGGTTATTTTAATGAAAAGTAGGTGTAACGACTGAATGTCTCCAATAAATTCAAAGATCAAAGACGACTTTCAAATCGTCTTGCTACTGTCATGTTTCGTGGGAAACTCAGCAATTATGTTTAGGACGTGAACGGACGTTATACTGGATTCTTCTGGGGTTACAGTAGTGTGAGGAAAGTGAATATTTTAAAGTAAATTCATTTTTTGTCTTTTTTTCTTAATGACAGTTTAGGAAGAGTGGTGACATAACTCGAAGTTACTCTTTATTTGTTATATAGAATGTCTGATTTACAACGGTACCCTTTAAGCCTTCTATATCTTATGAAGAAGATTTCACTTTTTTATTTTGGAAATATTTTTTTTATCAATATTGTTTTCCAATTTGTAAAATCCTGATAAAAACACAGAGGTTGGGGGGAGGGTGGAATAAAAAATTGGACATTTTTACCCAAATATTCATCCATTTCTCCTTAAAATCCTTTATTTTCCCGATTTCAGCGGAAAAAAACAGTAAAAAAATTACACCCCTGCAAAAATAAAAAAAAATACACCCTGTAAAATATCACTAACTTCAAGGGCTGATAATTTTGAGTGTATGTCCGTGCAAGGAGCAACCAGGGTCTTAAACAAGGAATTCTTTTAAGAATATCAGAATTTAAAAAAAAAACTTTTCTTTCTTCTTTACACAATTAAAAGGAATTATAAATAGCAGAAATTGAAAATATTTATTAAAAATAATTAATTAAAAGATTTAATTTTTTTTTTATTTACGCTTCTTATCCATAGCACTGCTTTAATCACTTAAGTGATTGCCTTAATGTTGGTAACCTTGATTTAGTTTTGCTAATATGTCGATTGTTCTTTTTGATTTTGCATTAATCTAAAAGAAGTTTTTAAGTTCCTCGTAGAGTCACCAGAACAGAGTATTATGCTTGATAGAGCAGAATCCCTACTCCATGATTTCTTCGGAGGTAGAGATTCTAAATAATTTGGTTGTCAAAAAAAGAATCATTCATATTCAGCCAAAGTCGAAATTTAAATGTCCCAAAATAAGTGGGACTCGACACTAGGTTAAATAATGTACAGGTTAGCCATATTTTTACTGTATTTAATATAAAATTATTTTATTTAGATGAGAATTACTGGGGAATAAGAAGAGCCATGAAATTCTCTATTTTATTTAGATGAGAATTACTGGGGAATAAGAAGAGCCATGAAATTCTCTATTTTATTTAGATGAGAATTACTGGGGAATCAGAAGAGCCATGAAATTCTCTAAAACTCTTGTAAAGATAGCAGAGGCATTCAGGTATAGTTATATAGTCTTATGCTTGTTAGATCTGAAACGTGAAATAATGTGCTGGTTACACTAATAAAGTAGAACAGAAATGACAATAGACTAGACAACTACCTTTTAGAGTCATTAAATGTTTTATTCAGAGTGTCCTAATTAGAATGAAAATTAGCTGATTACAATGAAAGTATTAAAATCATTTACTGTTTTGGGTGTTTAAAGACGTAACTTTAAGTAACAATTTACTATCCATTTGCAGCATTGCATGTCCGATTCACAAAGGTACCCTTTAAACCTTTGTGATTATTGAAGACGCACAATGGAGATATCCCTATTTTGATCCGATAAAGAGTTAAAGGTTGTGAATTGAGCTAATAATTCTTTAAATGGGATTTCATTATAAAAAACGTTGACATTTCCTTGAACTTTGATGTTTGTCTGTAGACTTTGATTCTAATAAAATAAAAAATGTGGGATCCCCAGACCGCCATTGGACGTTAAGGGCCAGTTCCCAAAACCAGTTCTCCTGGCACCCTGATATCCCTACACCTATGCCCAGGAAATTCAAATCAAAGCATGGTACTACTGGACGCTGGTTAGTCAACCGGTGACGATTGTGTACCCTTCAATCAAGGGAGGTGTCAAGCAGAAGCTTCCTGTAATTTAGATCACTTCTTTCACTTTGTGCCAACGTTCTAAGAGGACATGTTACAAGTTTAGCTCTGTCCCTCAACTCCTTTTTTATAGCATCATCTCCCCCTAAGTACATTATCAGTGTGATTTTTGCGTCAAGAGAACTCAATCGGAGAACCGGGAAAGTGCTCTGGGTGCGTTCATATATTACGCTTTGACATTCCAGGATCATGTGTGCTTCTGACAGCTTCGCTTTCGCACCTACAGTGATACAGAATGAACAGTATGTGCATACTTTGCCCAAAGGGGTAGGTCTTCTATTGCCTAACCCCGAGTCACCTGCTCTAACTCTGTTCAGAGTGCGGATTTCTTGACCGTCATTTACATGATCTTGTATGCCTTACAGTATACAGTATACAGTATACAGTATACAGTATACAGTATATACGATTACACAATTAAATAATTATACAGTATAAGTATGCCCTTCACTGTTTAGAATAGATGAATTGAACTCCGATGATGAAGATGATAATTCAGTTGTCCCAGATGACTGGAGAGAGCAGAGGTAATATATTTATTTTATTCACACTTAAAGCGTAATTTAAATTGAACCTCCATTCTAAAGTGGCAATGCCAGATTAAAATTGGTACCCTTGAAACCGTAATCTTATAATGAATGTGGAAGAACCGTTGTTTTTCTGACTCAAAAAGTGAGTTTCTCCATAGCTTCTCAGAAACAAGAAATGCGCAAGTCACTTTCGCAGAGAAACCGCAAATGAAAATCATCAGTTTAAATACACAAGAACATTGCTATCTAATTCATACTTAATCAGAAAAAGCTTTAAAGGGTACCGTTATAAATCGGACATTGCAATCTTTGCATGAAGGGTCATTTGAAATTACAGGAGGGGCAAGGAAGAGAAGGGAGAAGAAAAAATGAGAAAGGGGTACCGTGATCTTCGCCAATTGTCCGTTAGAACTGACTGATTTACTTTGAAAAAATTGGACTGCTGAAAGCAAGCTTGACCTCTTGAATATTCGTGCATGGAATAATAGAAAAGGAAGCTGTTTCTATTTTGTTGGTTTTTGGAAAACGACTTAATGATTAATAGGGATAGTAGTTAACAGCTTCTTTTCTTCATTCGGATTGGATTGGATCTGGGAAAAATTATTCTGTAATTATTTTTAGCTTGTCGCACATGACCTCTACAGTCCACACATAGTTTTGTGTAGATCTGGGGATGTTGTTTTATGTAGTTTGATAAAGTCACGGACGTTATTCGGAAAATATTGGAAACCAAAACAGATCAGAAAATATTGTAGAACTGACGAGGGTCCACCCAGACCGAAATATATTCTCATTAAATGTGAAACTAACATCTACTTTTTTTTTCTCTACAGAGGTTTGGTCAATACCATCATAGAATTTTAAAAGTAACAAAAAAATTATTAAAACAACATTATCATGTCACTCAGATGATAGAAGCTCAGTTGTTAAAAACCTAATCAAAAAAAATAAATACTTTTCAATACAATTTTAAAAATTTTAGAACAGAGAGAGAGGAGCGCGGAGGACCCTATCTTTGTGTTCATCTCAGGTAACGTGTATGTATATTATGTAGCTTTCTTTAAATAAACAGTAATTGCCAAAAAGTAAACATTCTTTGATTTTAACAACAACAAAAAATGCGAAAAATAACATTTATTTTAGGTTTCTTAGTTCTAAGTCTAATTTTGATGATTTTGGGGTTTTAGCTATTAATCTTCAAAAATGTCAGTTACTTTGTAAAAGGGTTAAAATTATTATATATCTTGCTAAAAATTTAAAGATTTCTACAATATTTTATATCTATTTATTTTAGTTAACTGTAGTCTTTAAATCGGCGATGGAATGGTATTCATAAATTGAAATGAATTCTTGTTAAACCTTCTTTTTGTATTTTCCAACGCTTCCGATACTTTTAGAAGAAGGGATTATGTACGTGCCCGGGAGGGACAGATTCCTTCCATAAGAGGTTTGAATTTTTTTAAGCATTTTATTTATTTTGATTCTGAAATTTTAATTATTTTATTAGGATCTGAAATCGAATTTTAGTCCAAAGTATTACAATATCATAATAATAACATTTATGAAACTAGTGTGCACTTTATCCGTCTTACTCATTCAATGGTGAATTTTATTATAAACATGCTATAAAGTAATCGTCGTGCTGTAAAGTTTTGATTGGTTCTTTGATTTTCTCAAAAAAAACTTCAGGATATTTCTAATAATTATGTACAACTACTTAAGTTAAGGGAATTTTACTCTACCAAGGGTTTCCCAGACCAATTTTGTCGACAAAACATCCATTGAAACTTCGTACATTAGGTCATTATTTTACTTAATTGTCCCAAGGGACGTCAAGTAACTTAACCTCCCTCTGTTGGGGCAATTGTAGGTCGGTAATGTTGGTCAAAAGGCGTTAAAATATTTTTTTTCAATTATAATGAAAATAAAATTGAAATCGACTGAAAATTTTTATTTCTGCTTTTTAAAAAGAAATAGCGCCATTGCAACATTCTCAAATGTTTCATAAAAGTACCTCTAACATTATTATTTTGGCATGACATGCAATAAAGTTTTTGGGACTTAATTTTTCTCTTCATCTTGAAGGTTCTCAAAAACTTTATAATATTGCGAACCAAAATAAAAATGTTATAAATATTTAAAACACCACTGCTGTTTAGGAGCAGCTGAACAGTTGAGAAAGAAACTGGAAGAGCAAGGGTTGGACACCTTGTATGTTTCTACTGATGCACCCTACCATGAGTTTGAACAACTTAGGTATAACACAGGGGAAGAAAGTTGTAGTCTATGATTTGGTCAAAACTTGACAGTTAGTGTCAGTTTTTGGACGTTTTTATAAAATTTTATATTCCTAGTTTAAATTTTAATATAATAAAACAAGACATCTGTATTACGTTCCTTAAAGTCGGCCAAACGGCTGGACCGAATGGGCTGACATTTTTTTATTGAACCCATGGGAACCCTGGTAACATAGGCTTCTTTTTTATTACATGGGCAACGCCGGTCACCTTAACTAGTTTTTATTATTTTTATAAGATTCAAATCTCTAACCAACTTAAATAAAGTAGGATTTAAAGATATCATTCCATTTAGCAAATAGTTTTTTTTTTATTTTAAGGGACTATTTGACGGATTTTATTTTAAGGGACTATTTGATGGATTTTATTTTAAGGGACTATTTGATGGATTTTATTTTAAGGGACTATTTGACGGATTTTATTTTAAGGGACTATTTGACGGATTTTATTTTAAGGGACTATTTGACGGATTTTATTTTAAGGGACTATTTGACGGATTTTATTTTAAGAGACTATTTGACGGATTTTAATGTTGTCAAGTATACACCATCAGCTGAAGTTCTTAAAAAGTTCAAGGTAAATCAAGTTTTTACTTGTAACTACAAGAATTCATGGCGCTTCTTGCCCAATTTTTATTTAACTTTCTTTTTTTAAGTGGGGGAAATATTTCCACAATCCTGTTTTTTGAAGGTTTTAAATATTTTCTCCTTAAACACTTGATTTTGTATGTTTATGTTATATTTCATTAATAAATAATTACTTACTCACTAAATATGTAACTTTCCTTTTTTGGAGGTTTGTAAAAATTTTCTCATGAAACACTTAATTTTGTTAAACAAATAATTACTTATTTACAAATTTACCAAAGGATCCTGTCCCCTTGTCTTATGATATTTGTATGTTTTCAGTTCATAAATGTTTTATTATTTACAGGACGGAGGTGTTGCTATACTTGATCAAATTATCTGTTCTCATGCAAAGTATTTTGTTGGTTCATACGAGTCCACTTTTTCATTCAGGAGAGAGATGGATTAAATTAAAAACAAAATGGTTTATAACAGTAATCATCTGGTCATTTTATAAGTTGCAAAACTAAAGTTAAAACCAAACCTCAACCTTAAAAGGTTCAGAAATCGATTTTTATGAATTATTAAGACGCACAATTTGTAAATTCTCACTCTTAACAGAATACAAGAAGAAAGGGAGATCATGGGATTTCCAGTTAAGGTGAATTTTATGTACAACAATGGTTAGCATTTATATCAATATAATGATGACAAGTTTCTTCTTAAGTTTTGATTTCTAACATGTTTTTATCAAATTACAAGTTTACAAGTAAACAAAGAGAAGCTGTTAATTGATTGCTGCTATTTGTTCCCATGTTGATGTGTATCCATGCTGTTTTAAAGCTTGGTAAAAATCAAAATTGAAATCAAAAGACGCTTGCATTGTATTGATATTTATGATAACGACTTTATTATGATCTTTGTCATCCCAATAACAATTTTAAGCAGATTACTTTTTTTACTTATTTCATTTTATCCACACAATGGTTTCTTCCTAATGTTTAGTGTTCAAAAGAAACCACTAAATTTCCTCTATTCCGCAAGCAAAAAAATGACGCAGTTGGGAAGGAAGTATATCATAATTAAGGCTTTTTGAAACTAAGGTATTGTTGTGTTTCACACAGTCTGTCAACCACTACAAGTTAATGAAGATTTGTTTAGTCAACATTTGACATGCTCTGCCCTGATGGGAAGGACAAATGTGAGAAGGGTTCTCAGTGGAAGATAGACTGGGGGAAACCAGGGAAGGATTGGAGAATAGATTCAAGTACACCACATGTTGAACTTTGAAAAGAAGATAACATGAATAGTAATGGGCCTACTATTGACCCCTGTGTGCCCAACAGAAGTAAATTGTAACACCTGAACCTGGATGTAACTATTCTGTCAAATTATCAATGCATTTTACAAAACAGTATTCTCTTTACTTCTGTCTTCATTCCTGAAAGTGAATTGAATTTGAATATTTACAGTTTAAAAATACCCTACATGAATAAATTACCTTAAGAAGCTGGTGATTTGTTTGGTAAGATTACCTTACCCTCATCACCTTCTGGTGATTGGTAGTGCCACATTAGGTTAGCTTGTAATACATGTAAAAATTTAGATAGGTAAAATAAATTTCTTTTGACAACTATGTCATTTGTGATAGTTTAAAAATTGTATGAAGCTGTATTTATTGTAATGTATTGAATGTTACAAATCAAAATATTTTTAGTTTAGCGTTTGATAGTAATTGCTTTTATATTTAATTAAAACACATGTTTAATTTTCATATTGAGGTAGTTTCCTTGAATCTCAAAGTTAATTTTAAATTGTAAAATAAATTGTAAACTAATGAAATGCATTTATGAAATATCAATCAACTTAATTTTCAATTTCCAAAGTAATGGTTTTTTTGTTTCAGAAAACGACTAAAACATTTTATTGTCTGGTTTTAGTTAATAAATAACTAAACAAAATTTTGAAATGTTAGATATGTAAAATGATTTACTGAAAATTTTGTTTTTAACTATTTTAACAACGGCTTTCTATTAACGTGATCTTGATCTTGTGAATAAAGCTGTTGGTTTCTTCGGTATAATGATAAATCGTAGTTGCAACTAAACATTGTTTAATAAAACACAATTAATTGTGATTCAAACTTTTTTATTTTTTATGTTCTAGAAATTTCTTTGATTTTCATGTAAACATGGTTTGGCATGGAGACAGGATGACAGACAATGACAATACATTTGGTTTTTGAAAGGTAAGATTTATGAAGATCTATATAGAAAGAAATATTTTATATAGAATTGAATCTTGGGATCTAACTTTTCTTCGTCCCTGAAAATCTCATTTGATTGGATTTTGCATGCATTTGAAGACTCAGATTTTTTGTTACAAAAATGGTATTTTTACCCTAAGAGTTTAATCTTTTTTTATTCTTTTTAACTAATTTTTCTGCTTTCAACTTATGATGTAAAAAGGTAAAAATTCAAAAAATGTTTTCATTCATCTAATTTAAATGCATTATACTTTACCAAATCCCGTTGTTGCCTCAACAATGTAAAGTCTAGAGTTTTGACCCCTCAAAGTCAAAGTTTTGATTTTTCATTTTACATTGCTGCCTGTGGTGTCTTATTTGATGCTTTTCCATATCCTCTAGGTTTAGGTGCCTTTGTTGTTTCTTCTACATTAGCTGTGGGGAGTGGTGCTGATGTAAAAACCACACCTCTTGACTCGTGATTTAAATTTTCAGAGTTAGTTGATGATTCTTCATAGCCTGGACTGATTGCTTTTAGACTTATAGTGCTAACTTCTACCTCATAATTATCAGCTTTATCATTTATTGTTACTTCTACTTTGTTGTTATCATAAGTCTCGTCTTGTTCAGTTTCATTTATCTCTTTTTCCAAGATGGCGTTAGAATTTTCATAATGATCTGCTCCTCTGTTATTAGTATTATTCTCAGCTTGTTCAGTTATATTTATCTGTTTTTCCAAGTTGGCATTACTATTTACATCAAGATCCACTCTGCTGTTGTTAGTATTATTCTCTGCTTGTTCAGTTATATTTATCTGTTTTTCCAAGATGGGTTTAGTATTTCCATCAAGATCTACTCCACTGTTTGTAGTATTATTCTCTGCTTGTTTAGTTATATTTATCTGTTTTTCCAAGATGGGTTTAGCATTTCCATCAAGATCCACTCCACTGTTTGTAGTATTATTCTCTGCTTGTTCAGTTATATTTATCTGTTTTTCCAAGATGGGTTTAGCATTTCCATCAAGATCCACTGCACTGTTTGTAGTATTATTCTCTGCTTGTTCAGTTATATTTATCTGTTTTTTCAAGTTGTTGTTAGCATTTCCGTCAAAATCCATTCTGCTGTTAGTAATATTCTCATTGTTTTTATTTCCAGGGCTAATAGATTTACTGTATTTACTTTTTTGTACATCTTCGTTTAACCCATCATTTGAAACTTCATCCTCAGAATCATCATCACTGTAGTCATTTCCAGACTCAGGGTCAGAACTTAATTGAGATTCATTTCTGTCATAAACTTCAGGAGTTTCTTTACTCCTCACTTCACCCCCTGCCATTTCAATGAGATACATTGTTGCATTTGGAATTTTGATTAGATACATGTTAGCATTTGGACTTTCATGTATGCTGATGCTGAAAAAATATTTTATATTAATCAATTTAAATCTAGCATTATTTATTTTCTCAACTTAGCTGGGTACTAATTCAGTACACCTTATAAATAACAGTAGGAAAAATGTTGTTTACATCTAACCATAAGAATATTGATGCGCGAAAAGGCTTTGAAATTGTGCAGTTTGAGTCTTTTTGGTGACTGTTACTGTTCAAGTGCTGTATCCTTCAGGTTTTATTCTAATAATATGGTTGTCTCTGTAACTAAGCTATTGGACTAAACAGAATCTTAGTCTTAAAACTTGGAATTGCACTTAAATTGGTAAAGGGTTTAATTATTTTTTGAAATTAGAAATGTATAATGTAGATGCATTAAAATCATTACATTTAATAATAAAAACTACAGGGTGTCCCACGAAACATGACAATAGAAAGACAAATTGAAAATTGTCCTCGATCTTTAATTTGCGGCATTTATTTGTCAACCTAAATTTATATGTAAAATGCTAAAGTTAATAATCATAAGCATTTCCAAAATGTAGTTTACCTTTCATGTGCTTTTCTAAATCAACAGAGATATGAAGAATTTTGTTCAAATATTTACAATTATTTTTTTTCAACAAAATTGAAGTCTGACCAAAATTTGTAACATCTATAGTAATATTGACAGCATAAAAAGGCAGATCACATTTTGTAAATGCCAATACTGGTATAATTTTGTTGTTATTATTTCAATAATTGTACATGTGAAAGTAGGTTGCTGACTGAATGTCACAAAGAAAATAAAAGTTTGAAGACAACTTCCAGTTTTCTTGCTGTACCTGAAAGGGAGAATTAGAAACAGAATTGATCTGAGCATCACTGTTCAAGGACACCTGCCTGATTCATATAACCTTGTAGATAATACTGATTTAAGATTGCTTGATCTTTACCTTGCTTAACCATGATAATTGAAACTAGATAGAAATATTTTAAGACTTCAATTATTTGATAAAATAAGTTGTTAATGGAAGCCAATTTAGAATCACATATTAACTAATAATTAATAATTAATAATAAATTTGTTCGCTTAAAATTATGGCCAGAAAGAAATATATGAACAACTTAAAATGACATCAGTCAATTTCTAAAACAATGTCAAAATATAAAGAAAATATATTTCTTAAATATTTGATCCAATGTTTGCTTTTGCAGCATATTTTCTATAAAAATGCTCAGATCTTGCACCAATCCTAATTGAAGAAAACACTAAATTATTTTCCATGACTTTTAATCTCTTTCATATTTTTCTATTCAAGTAGATTTGTTTGGAAGATACAACTTTTAAAAATAAGCCCTGATTTGAATTTTTTATGACACTGATCTCATTTGTTTTTATCGCTTTAAGTGCTTATATGGCATGAGCAGGAAACAGATGACAATATTTTAAACTTGAAAACACACATTATTGAATTAAGTGCTGATCTGTTGATACCCAATGAAATATGTAAATATAAATCCGGCTTTTCTTTCTAGTTGTTTGTATTAATGAAGTGAGTTCAAATTAGATCTTAAATCAATTAATAAAGTAAAATATTAGTCCTGAGACCTTTTAAGTGGTAATTACAAAAATTCTATTTTTTTCTGTAAATTCACTTGCTGACAAAAACAGGGTATGAATTTAAGATTACAATTTCCCCAGTATACATCTTACATTGAGTTGCTTTTGATTTTTTTTTAAGAAGACCCAATCATCCTAACAGCCAAAATCCCTTCACACTCAGCTTTCTTAAAACAGTTGAAATAGCTACTTGAAAACATCTTAACTCTCTTTTGTGACCAATTCCAGTACAACAGCATCCTTTTCTCTACTCCTTCTAATTGCAGTTGACATTAGTTCCATAACTAAAACTTGGCCCATTTCTAAAAAAAATGTTAGTAAGACTGGATTTTTATGATCCTAGTCAATATCAATATCAAGAGCACGAGTCTACTACAATAAATTGATATTTCATTTCCAGCATGTTAAACAAACTGATTCCTCCATGTTAAATCTATATCTTAGGAACAAAATAATATTGATATATTAACATTAATTTGAGCAGTTCCTTAAACCAGGATATATTCCCAAAAGGTGATATGAGCTCAAATAAGGTATTTGTTGCAAAATAGAAATATGTTTTAAAAAATTAAATCATTTATCACCAAAAACCTCTTCTCACATCTTACTATCAGTTTAATGTTGGCATTTTTGTTTCACTATATAAGTCATTGTTATAAATGTATGGTGTAGTTTTGGATTGAATTTAAAGATCTAAACCCTTAGAAGAGATAACTTAGCAGACGTTGTCCATTTCTTATACTTGGTGTTACAAATAGGCCAATTTTTGATTTGGGAACAATGGGCCTTATGGACAGTTTATCTATCTATACAACTCTTTCAGTTTTAAACAAAATTTAAGTATATATATATATATTAGGGTGCATGGTTCAAAATGAGGTAAAAAAAAATTTGACTACAGTGGTAGTTTATAAGCAACAGACATTTGCTTTTTTTTAATTTATTATGTTTAACGGTGGCACAAGGGGGTTAAAGTTTTTAAGTTTGCCATTTTTTTTCGCAAAATTTAAGAAACCTTTGTGCTACAATACAAGAAGGCACTCTATGTTTGATTATAACTGTGACAGACACTTCCTGTTTCTTAGATGCCCGGTGCCTTGTTGATCCAATTAATTTGTTCAAAATGTCCAAGTTCCACAGCCTGATATATTTAAGTTATACTTTTATCTTATGTCCCTTTGGGGTTGGGGGTCCAAGCCTAACGTTTTTCTTTTTAAAGCAATCAAAACTTTAATTGCATGAGAAGGATTTTATTTTCCCACATTTGTTATTTTCTCAGGGGAGAAGAAAAAGCTGCTATTTGGAAAAAGAAAAAATCCCCCTTGGTCTCTAATTTTAATTCCTTGTACATTAATGCTAAAGTGCACTTTAAAAAAAATATATTTATTTTTCTGTGCTCAAACAGGTTTCACTAGTGGAAAGGGGGGGGGGGTAGATTGTATTCACTGTAGTAATTTTAACCTTTTCACTGTCTTTTTTTTTAAAGGACAACAATCTGGTCAAGTCAATTTTTCCTCTATTATTTGCTTCTTTAGGTGCTGGGCTCCTCAAGGACAGTTATTTTTTACTGTTATGTTTCCTCAGTTCTCTTCTTTATCATATCATGTTAATAGTTCTATGATCTTTTATACTATTAATTGCATGCACGCACACCAGGCTAGATCACTTGGCAGGCATCATTTGCTTGCCAAGAGTCATCTTAAGTAAAGATGTAAGAATTAATCTACAAATATGTTGCATAGAGATGATTTCTTTTGTACAGAATGCATAAGCTTCCATTGGAATATCATTTCTATGCAACGGAAATATGTTCTCATTCTGGAGACAAAATCAAGTTCATTGTCTATAAAAAGAATCAAATCTCTCCTAAGATGCAACACTGTCCTTGTGATTACATGTCCTAACTTTTCTGGGTAATAATGGTATTTATTTGATCAATTCAATATATATGCAGATGGTCAACATAGTCAAGAACAAAAAAATGTTAACTGTTCAACATTATGTAAGATATAATAAAACATATGACAGTTATTTGAATAATTATTAAAACTAATTCCTAACAGCTAATGATGTCTTGTCTTCTATTTAAGCAATTCAAAATTTCTTATTTTATTTTACATAAGGTTGGGTATTCTGGCTGGAGTATTGCATTTTTGTCAAGCAACAGACAAATGATGGGCACTGATGAACATGACATTTGCACAGGCTGATCCAATCAAAGTGCAGAAAGGATGCACTAGTAAGTAAGGAAAAGTTTAAGTAGGAGAATTTGAGAGAGAATTTTTTACGGAGCCAGTGAACTCAGAGATCAAAAAAAGAAAGGAAAAGATAGATGGAAGAGAATAGACAGAAGAAAAAAAATCAATTCTTAAAAGGAAAAATTCCTTATTTTTCTTTCTTTTTACTTTTTATGTCTGACTGAGAAAAGGATAAAAGAACAAAACTCAATTATGTTTGAAAATCCAGCTTTCTACAAGTAATTGGAAAACATCATATCATTAACAAGACCAAAAGCCCAAGGAAAAACAGGAAGCAAGATCAGTCTGCGTAAAATAAGTGTTCACTATGGTTTAAAGGGTAACCCATGGTCAAGTTTTTAAGACAATGACGCAACATAAAACGTTGAGGTACATGACTTTTAACTGATCTTGATCAAAACAAAATATTAGAAAGACTTTGATAACAAACTGGAAATAGATTTATTGATATTTCATTTCATTTTCATCCAAAAATAAATTATGTAAGTTAAAATAAAATATGATATGCTGTTTTAAAAAAAGCTTCCAGAATTAAGTAAGTTTTTTAGTTAGATTATGCTTATATTTTGCAATGTATTAAAATTCCCACAAGGAACACAAATATCTTGCTCTGAACATCTCTGAATGCTAAAGAAAGACTTTGCTTAAAGAAATTATGGTATTTTATTCAAATTTTCAAGTTTTTTAAACTGACTTAAAATGCACTTAGATTAAATTAAGCACGACGCCTTCTTGAGTATCCTCGAGATGCTGATGTAGGTTCCCCATACCCTGATGGAGCGGATGTTGTTGTTTCTCCATATCCTGACGGAGCTTTTGTTGTTGTTTCTCCATATCCTGATGGAGTTGTTGTTGTTTCCCCATAACCTCCAGGAGTTGATGCATCACCATACCCTGATGGAGCCGAGGTTGTATCACCATAACCTTGTGGAGTTGTTGTTCCATCATAACCACCTGTCGTTGATACGCCATAACCACCTGTGGTTGATACACCATAACCATCTGTGGTTGTTCCATCATAACCACCTGTGGTTGATACGCTATAACCACCTGTAGTTGATACACCATAACCATCTGTGGTTGATACACCATAACCATCTGTGGTTGTTCCATCATAACCACCTGTGGTTGATACACCATAACCATCTGTGGTTGTTCCATCATAACCACCTGTGGTTGATACGCCATAACCATCTGTGGTTGTTCCATCATAACCACCTGTGGTTGATACGCCATAACCATCTGTGGTTGTTCCATCATAACCACCTGTGGTTGATACGCCATAACCATCTGTGGTTGTTCCATCATAACCACCTGTGGTTGATACGCCATAACCATCTGTGGTTGTTCCATCATAACCACCTGTGGTTGATACGCCATAACCATCTGTTGTTGTTCCATCATAACCACCTGTGGTTGAAACGCCATAACCACCTGTGGTTGATACACCATAACCATCTGTGGTTGTTTCACCATAACCATGTGTGGTTGTTACACCATAACCTTGTGTGGTTGTTTCACCATAACCATGTGTTGTATCCCCATAACCTACAGAAGCTGCAGTTGTAGGATCCCCATAACCTACTGGAGCTGCAGTTGTAGGATCCCCATAACCTACTGGAGCTGCAGTTGTAGGATCCCCATAACCTACTGGAGCTGCAGTTGTAGGATCCCCATAACCTACTGGAGCTGCAGTTGTAGGATCCCCATAACCTACTGGAGCTGCAGTTGTAGGATCCCCATAACCTACTGGAGCTGCAGTTGTAGGATCCCCATAACCTACTGGAGCTGCAGTTGTAGGATCCCCATAACCTACTGGAGCTGCAGTTGTAGGATCCCCATAACCTCTTGGAGCTGCCGTTGTGGTTTCTCCATAACCACCATCATCACTATAGTCTGATCCAGCTTCATGTGGTGAATCTTCTGGCTTTCCTCCATATCCTGTTTTCTCTTCACTTGCAGTCTCAACTAGAAAGGTTTTTGCCCTTGGTTTCCCTTTAGCAGTAAAACTAATTAATCAACTAAAATTACAAGATGAAAAGTGATTAGTCTACTTTCTGCTTACTTTGAAAATGAAGGGAATGTGTGCACTATGCACTATGCAGGAAAGGAGGGAGACCCCAGCCACCATGAGTTCTGACTCTACAATATAAGAAGAGTCTTTAAGATTGCCCAGGCAGTACAGTAAATGAGCCTCCACAATACAGCGAAACTAGCCATGCAGAATCTTGTTTGCTGCTTGGCTGAGTCTTATACTGCATAGTTAATCTGTAAGGCTAATCTTAAATAGTAGAAGCTATTGGTGGATGAAGTATAATTCCTTCCTGATGTATGGCTGCCAACAACCCTGGACAGTGCATAGTACACATCAATATTTAAACCACTGAAATTACAATATGACTTCAAATTCCTGATGATGTATTTCAACATTGGAACTCCCATTTGTACTTGCATGTTATGACCTTATTTTTTGGCTCAGCAAAATGACTGAAAATTTTGTCAACCCATAAAAGTTTTAAAATTGATTCCGTCATTAGTTTCTAGCTATGGATCATAAGTTGTTTAACCATCTAATATTGCAAAAATCTGAAAGTTGACTGTACATTGAGGCACATTGGATGCCTATTGGATGCCTGTGGCAGCTAGATTTAATGAATAGTTTGGTTCCAATCACATAATAGAAATGATTGTATTTAAAAACAAAAATGAAAATGTAATCCTGGGTTGCTAAGCAATAGTAGGAATAAGAGAAAATTTACTACTCCAAAAAACTGAAGCAAAGACGCAAGGTCATTTTTCTGCTTTGAGTAGGAGGTGAAGGGGCTCCATGCATAGATTTATTTTAAAGAGGTTGTAAAATGAAAGTTGTTATTGATATGTGAATGGAAAGATCCACTATCATCCGACTGGGTAAGCTTACTGTAAATACTAAGTATAGATTTCAAATTGATAAGGAAAGATCCACTATAATCAAACTGGTTAGGCTTACTGTAAATAATTAAGTTTAAATTTCAAATTGTTAACATCTGATGGTCTTTGAAGGCTGAGATACTTCACTAATGCGCAACCAGAGCTGAAAACTTAAGAATGTTGGATATCCAGATCAATGCTTTATCCACTCTTTTTCTTAATCTCAAGACTAATCTCTAATCTTGTGTTTGTTTTATGAAAAGTGTATATCATTCAAGCAATCTGAGTGGCATATCAGAAGTCAGGATATGGAAAATTGAAAATACAGAGACGGAGAGAAGAGCTTTCTAATTTTGAAAAACTGGTTTTTTATTAACTTATACTTTTGGGATCATATTAATTGAAATAATGTAAGTTCGGACTAATGTTTATGTGGACTATTGTTTCCAGTAGATTTAATTGAATGTAATTAATTTGTATTTTGTTTCAATGCTGAAATGTTCAAATTGACTGAAAACCGGTTTAGGAATAACTTAGTTTGCAATTGAACTTAATTGTTCAATCTGAAATTTGTCCAATTGATATAGCATTGTATCTGTATTTGTGATCAAATGGAACTTTAATATAGTATGGATAATGGAGTTTTAAAAAGAGAGGATTAAGAATAAAATCAGAAGTGTGTACATTGGATACTCACATTAAGAGAGGTATTATTAGGAAATAATAAAAATCATAAATGCAGTAGTCACATCGTCCTTTAGGATAAAAATGCACATATTTGAAAATATCTATATTATTTTCAAACTGTTGTACTTTTAATATTTTCTGGGTTAAATAACACAAAATCAAGAATTTTAATAAAATATTGTATGAATTCTTGCTAGGTTAGTTGGAACTTTAAATCCAAATAGAAACAGGAGTTTAGTGATGATTTCTAATTGGTCTTTGTAAATACTTTTTTGATTTAGTATGGTGATGTCTTCTAACTCCCATGTATATTGGGACACCCTGTAGTTTTTCACAGAGCCCAGATCTCCCCAAGTTAACAGGTGTATTTAAGACATACTTTGATTAGCAGCTAGATGTCTTTCTTAGCATAGATGTCAGCACATAATCTAATTTTGTTACGACTTCCATTGTTTTTTCGCCGATAATTGTCGCATCTCACCGCAACAGTAATCACATTTTACCCTTCTATGTTAGTAAAAAAAATGAATGGGAAAATCCAAGCTCTGCGTTAGGAATTTGTAATATTTGGAACAACTAAATCAGTGTTTCTAATCCTATCTTAATAAGACTGATTTGATCGAAATTTTTTACATATTATATAGACTATTAAATGTTGGTATGTGCAAAAATAATCTGTCATTCTGCAATGCTGGTGGTTCAGATTTTGATGTGGGAGCGACCTTAAATCTCAACCCTCTATTGATATTATCAAGAAATGAATGACAATCGTTGAGGTATAAAAATCCTCCTGGCTTTAATGGATTAGTTCTGCAAACAAAGACTCATGATTTTGAGGTCTAATGTTTTTAGTTTAAAAGCTGATATGTTACTGAAAACAATGAAAAAAATATTTATGTTGATTCCTAAGAGCAAGAACAAGAAATAGGATTTTAGATCTCGGCATCTCAACTCCAGTTCCACTCCAATGTAACTACAGAATGAAACTGTCATTAAAGCAGTTTTAATTGAATAAAATACCTTTATTTTAATGCAGTTATTTGATTCTTAAATAAATCAGCAAGGGATGTGAGTTAATATTTTTAACAAAACCGAGTTGAAGAATTGATAAAAATTAATTAATATCTAACTGACTAAAATAGATGACAACATAAACTTAGTCTGGAAAACCTATAGATCTAACAATCGACAAATTGGACAATAAAGACACACAAAAAGATATTTTTAACAAATTAGACATGACTTTTCCATACTTTTAAAAAAGAACAATATTCTAATTTCTGGCCACCCTCTAATCTGTATAAGCACAATAAGATTAATGAAAAGGTTATTAAATACATTTGATTTTGAATGATTTTAGCATTCTGCCTCTTATAATAAAATTGTAAATCATTATATTGACTGTGAGTGTAATTTCAAGTGACCCTCTATGCAAAGATTGTAATCCCCATTCACTGCGATGCTCTTAAAGGCAGTACATTGTGTCTACAGGCTCAGTTGTAATTGGATTTTCAAAATGGAGTCCACTTTTTAGTCTACGTACAATTTTCTTTTCAATAAACCAAATTTTAGACTTGTATATCAAAAACTGCCAATTTTATATACTACTAAAGTTTCCAACTGGAGTAAGTAATTTGGTAAAAATAAGATAATCTCCGTTTGCACAATTTTGTATTAGGGTCTATGCAGACTTGCTTGTAATCGGATTTTCAAGATCGAGAGCATTTTTGATATCCACGTACAATTTTACGCTTGTAGATCTAAAAATAGCAATTTTATAGGCTCCTAAAGTTTCCAACTGGAGTTAAAAAGTAAAACATAATCTCTGCACAAATTAATCTTCAATGTTAGGTTACAGTTTATTACAGTACAATTTCTATCTTTAGATCTACAAGCCTGGAATTGGGCGTATTGAATCGGAAATTGTACAAAGATTTTAAAAATGGTATCAATCTTGAAAATCCGATTGCAAACGAGTCTGTATGTCCTTTTGAGACACCCCATGTATGAATTAGATTTTAATCAATGTTTAAAATTGTTTTGACTGAATCACACAAATATCAAACAAATCATTTAAATATTACAACCTTTAGTTTGTCGATTATTTTTTGACGCATTCGCATATAGTTATTTCATAATATTTTGTATTTGTTTTTTAAACAATGCACTTAAAACGCCGATTAGTTTGTCCACCATGTGTCTCTGCTCTCGATATTCCATGTGGCAGAGACACCTAGCAGAAAAAAGTCGTTGTTTTAAGTGCATGTATTGAAAAAAAGTAAAAAATGTTATGAAAAATTAACTACATACAAATATGGTGTAAAACAAACGATGACTATAGGTTGTAATATCTGAACGATATGTTTGAAATTGAATTGATTTTTATACGATTCGAGCTGTGGATTGCAACTATCTCAATTTGGGTAAATACTACGTTATTCAGCATAAGTTGTTTTACCAATTTTTTCCTTATAGACGCAACAGATAGATGTAAGATTAGTAGCGATCAAAAGCGCTTATTTTTCTCCGTATGTCTGTACCCACTTTCATTTTTCGCGAACACTCCCTTTAAGGCAGAAAATTAATTCAATTTGTTCTAAAAGTCTCAATCTTGACGGGTAACCACTAATCCTGTATATCCACAGGTTTGCCCACAAAAAATATGAGACTTGAACGACGATAAAAGGTCGCATTTTTTTTTTCTGGAAAAGGGTTACCTCAATTACCTAAATTATGTTTTACATAAGTTTTAAGTAGCAGGAAACCTTTAAGTCTGATTGAAGTAAACCGGCTTTAAGCTTAAATTCTAGGACATTCTGTTTATAATCCCTTAATTCGGTCTCAAGTATCTTAGAAGAATAAAAAATAAATATTGAATAGATGAAATACAGACGAAAAGGCAGACTTGTATTGACAATCTTTATGTAATACTATGGAGATATATAAATTTGGTGATCTCGAAATGTACGATGGGAAAATTATTTATTACCCAAACCAATAGTCCCGATTAACTAGAGTTCCCGAACATTCAAACCTTCATAGAACAACCTTCTTATCCTCTACTGTTCCCGAAATCGATAATAAATGGTATTCAATTTATTTCTGTCCTAAAAAAATACATTTAATTAACAAAGGTTTACTGAGTATAAATGTAACGTTTTATTATAATGAAATATTCTTACTAAAAAAAGATTATAGTCCGGTTATTGAACAGTACTAAAACAACGTTTTGTCTTCTAAAATAAAATGGCAATTGATTTTAAATGTAAATCACTATTTTTTAAGTGTTATTCTTTTAACTTTTAAAGCTGGGGTACTGCACGTGAAACACACAAACACACACTTTTAATGAGTTACACACAATAAGATTATAATTTGGTTTGGGAAGGGAATCAACTATTGCTTGAGCTATATTATTGGTAACTAGATTTTAGAAAATGATGAGAAACAATTTATTTTATATGGGACGGGGGGGACCAGGGTACAAATTCGTTATTGCACCCCCCTTTCAGAAGAAAGGGGGGTAAACCTGCACCCTTGCACCCCCCCCCCTGGTTACGGGCCTGGTCACAAGTAAAAGAAAAAATAGAATATTGGCGATTCACCTAGATATCTAAATTTGACTTCGAATTAAGTAAATCTAAGAATGTATTAAGTAATGATTAATTTTATAATAACTCGCTATGGCTAATCAAATAAAATTATATTTAACCTTGAATTATTTAATTAACTTTAGATTCTCTTAGGTTAGAAACCGATCATTATTTAAAAGGTTGGAAATTAAATTAGCATTCTATGTTTGATACTTACAGATATAATTTCTAAACTTAATTCTATACATCAAGGGCTTATAGAGGGGGGGGGCAGCGCCCCACCCTTGGCCTGTAAAAGGGGGTCCTAGATCTCAGAGCTTTCAAGCTTTTCAAATCTTAAACTCAAGAGTGAAGAACATTAAAAAAAAATTAGTTTGCTGTTCATTCAGTGCACTAAAAAGATTGCATACGTGGACCAAATCCAACATGCCAGAAGTCCGAAGGAAAAATCAGGGATAGCAAAGTAAAAATTATTTTTAAATGCCAATGCCAAGCCACGAAGGCTTGGGTTTGGAGACAATAAAAAACCATTTTTAGTTTTTTTTAACTTGGATTTAATTTACTTTATTCATTGCACCGCCGTTTTGTGCCAGGCGTCGCCCGTGGATTTTTAAAATTCAAATTTAAACAAAAAACTTATAATTTATTTAGCTTATGTCAACCTCAAGGGTATCCATGAGTTTCCTTACTAAAATTCAGCCCAATTGATTCAGCCGTTTGGCCAACCATAGCAAACATATAAATGAACGAAGAGCTTTATTATATTGATTACAATTGTATTCATAAGGTTTTTCAAAACGGAAACTTTTTTTTCTGGACCTCTGTCTTTTATTCATCTCATAGAATTTAAGTTTAAGTTGAGTTTTTCATTTTCAAAAATGTGTTTTACTATCTCTAGTTTAAATACTAATTATAACTAAAACAACAATAAAATAGAATGTCGATATTTTAGAAACAATGCTTTTTTTCTGCTATTTTTGTTTAAAGGATAGATAAAGTATAGTACATGCAAGGTAATTGGACTGTATGTGTACCTTCAAAGCATCTTATACTTATACCTGATATCCAAGAACCCAATATTTTGAATTTACCGTTCAAATTTTGCTCCCCTCCCCAGGAGCTCCTAGAAGAAAAAAATGTTTGCGCTTCGCGCTAATTTTGCCCCCCCCCCCCAGATTTATTTCTGTATACGCCCTTGCTTTACATAAAGGGATATTCATTACGTATTTAAGAACATGAGGATAGAATTTGATTACACTTGTTAGTTTGAATTGAATGCTTGTTTGTTGTTGTTGTTCGGTCATTACTCGTGGACCGATTTGACTTAAATTTTGAATCTCTGGAGAACCACTGGGATATCCTTTGAACATGAGTGATATGACTTTTAAAGAGAAAACTCCAGGCAAAGCTGGATTCCCAATATTGTACTAAATGTTTCACAGGCCACATGTCAGTGTAACGGTTTAAAAACGATCAAGTATAATATTTAATTTAAATTATTTCATTCGCACCCATCCGACTATTATAACTTTTAATGTTAGCTCTCTCTCTGACCATTTTCTCATTGTACAGTATAAAACAATACCAAATAAAGTTCGGGAATTTTTTTCACGCAATTTTAAAATTTCACAAAAATCAAAAACTCCTGGATAATTATTTTATTATTCGAGCATCAATAAACCTTCCTTGGGGTCATGCAAGGTCCCACACAAAATGTGGGCCCAATCGGTTCCGTAGTTTTGTCGTTTATAAGACACAAACAAACAGATTGACGAGCAAGGTATATTTGTAGATCATACCTGTGTTTTTTTACAATATGAAATATTAGACTTAGTAACCCTATATAGAACTACCCAGTACCCATAAAGGATGATGACTTAAAGACGACCTGCCCTGCAAACATTTAGTCTCCGACAAACCAATGTCAAACAAATAAAGTCAGAATTATTTACCCAACATCTGCGCCATGTTATAGGCACATATATTTAAATGAAAATACTTTTTAAATTATTTATTAAATGATTTGGTAAAGAAAATTAGACGTGAAAGCTGTGTGGACTGAGACTGTAAAAAATGAGATTGAATAAATTCCGTACAGTCGTCTCTGAAGTTTGATCCTGGCTATGTGGGTAGCCCTGTATGTATAGATTCTCATGTTTAGTGGAACACACTAAGAATGCTTTGTGTAGAGGCTTCCTGCATATCAACTAGGTTTCTGATTGCTGTGTTCTATGTACTGTGTAGTGAGCTGCTCTACGTAAAACCCCGGTCCTAGAAATGTATTTGCAACACAGCTTTATATAAAGTTTAGGCAACACGTAAATAATATTATTAGCTCTACATGAAAATTTTGTTTATTTTGACGGTTAAAAATATACAAGAGAAACTACTTTTTTGTATCTTTAAAATTGACAAAGATATATAATATTAAGACAAAGTATAATTAAAGTTTTTGTCACAAACTCAAATATTTTAATCCCTATTTCTCTGCAACCTAATGGTGTAAACTTTTGATATTGTAAGCTTGGAGTGTTTTATCTAACAGAGCTAGGAATAGTGGATATCAGGAATATTGATTGATTCTCTGTTTTTGCTAATTTCGAGACTAACATAATCTCGAAATTATGTCTTGAGATTAAATATTTAGATAAACAAATTTGATTCTAGGAACGTCAGATTGTTGGTGTTCTTGACTGGAAGGGCCTTCACTTAATTTCTCACCAATTTATTTATTAGTACATTAGTTAAAATTGGTTGAAAAAGAATATCAAACGTATTATTAAATATTTTTCTTCGCCGATAAATTTACAAAATGGTCGACAAGAAATTCTTAGTTTGCTAGAAATTGAGGATTTCTCTCATGGGATAGAATTAATTTTCAAGGCTGTTATTGGACAAAACCATTTACGAACTATATTCCTGCACTCTCATTGGAAGAAAACAATGTATGGATATCCAAAGAGAGAGAAAAAGAGTGGATTAAGGACTAAAATTAAAAGTTTCCACAGTGGATATTCGGATTAAGTAGTTGAGATTAAAGGTTATCCATTCTAAAGTTCCCAGCTCAGAGTTTATATAGTTGACATATCTAATGTCTACGCCTTTGGGTTGTAAATATAAAGGGTTAAGAAAATTATAGTTTATGGCAAAGGCTCAATTTCTTTAATCTATTTTTTAAATTAGAATCTTAAGTCCCATTTTTGTGGAGACATCCTGTACAATATTGTGATTAATATTATAGGGTCTAGGGAATAGACAATGTTTCGTTCATTGAAAACTAACAGATATAATAAGACTATATTGTAGAATCAATAAAGCCACAAGATAAAAAATTTCGAAATTTCTTTTTGTTTGGTATCTTTAATTACTTTTCTAGGCACCCAACCCGATTAGTGAAGTGTCTTCAGTTTGTTTATTTTGTTTGGTATCTTTAATTACTTTTCTAGGCACCCAACCCGATTAGTGAAGTGTCTTCAGTTTGTTTATTTTGTTTGGTATCTNCCTGCCTGCCCCCCTGTATACGCCCTTGAAACATGTGCAGAATTCTTTTTAAAGGCTATGCAAGTGATCCACCATTCAAAGGTTTCACAACGTATTCTTGAAACGTTTATCTGATCAATAATATGGAAGATATTGCCGTTTTTCTATGTTTTAACATACTAAATTCTGATAACTTCTATATGTTTTCCTGCCTTTTCTACGGTTTTTAGGTTATACAAATTTCACTGGCAGAGAATATCTTTCTAAATCCTAGATCTAAAGTCAAATCCTACGAAATGTCACTTTAATGGATAGAATAGACTTATCTATAAAAATTAAGTTGTAATCTATGTTTAAATATTTGTTTGATCATTTTTTTATTGGGGTATATATGGGAGACCAGAAGAGGGAATGTTCTTATCTTGGTTTTGAGATTCAAAGTTCAGTGGGTGGGTCGACTTTTATCGGGAAAAATAGCTCAAATCGCAATTTACGACAAAGGGCGGGTAAACGGTCATAAAATACAATCATATGACAACAATCTGAAGAGATGGACTAAATAACTTTTTAATCTTCCCTGACGGCACAAACAGATATTTACATTATTTTACATTCGTTAAATTGGTTTCGTTCACAAAAACCAAAAAAGTTGCAGTGCAGAAGGTTAATTTTTTCCTTCACTATTTGTCTTGCAGTGTAAAACTCTTTTATTGATACCAATAAAAAGGTTGTACCGATTCTAAAATTACTTAAAGATTTATATGTTCAAATTTTGTAGACTGAACAGAATTTGCGTGCCCTGCATACACCTTTTACCGAAGCTGTACCTGTAAAGGAAAAATATGTCCTGCGTACAGTTTATATGTTTCACAAATTTCTTAACCGTATGCCTCAGAAATTTTAGATTCGAACCTTTATTTTTTATTTTTATTTTTTAAGTTTTTTACAAAGTCAAAACTCAAAGTTTATTTATCACTAGCATTACAAGTAAATTTGTACTGTATAGACGTGCACTCAAACTATGTACTCAAGAAGTCAATACCTCTCAAAAAACCCCTCCCTTCAGGAAAAAGAAATATACAAAAATTATATTTTTTGCACTTTCAAGGTAGTGTTCGCGAAAAATTAAAGGGGGTATAGGTTAACGTCGAATTGCATTCAACATTAATCGCTACTAATTTTACTTTTTTCTTTTGCGCCCACAAGGAGAAAGTGGTTAGAAACAATTCATACTAAAGAGCGTAGGACCATACAAATTCACGTAGTTGTATTATTACAATAATTCAATAATAATTACAATAATTCAATAATAATTACAATAATTCAATAATAATTCAATATAATTTAAAACCATTTCTCCTTCTAGACGAATCAGATAGAAGTAAAAAAGTAGTGATCAATATCGATATCCTCCAATACGTCCCCTTTCATTTTTCGCAAACACTCCCTTTAATAGTGAGATTAGAAAATAAAAGGATATGTACATAAATCAATTGTTAATACTTAAAAAAAACATTTTATATTTTAGATCTTTTTGCCCGCACTTGTCTCTGGCTCTGAGAACTTCCACTAGCCTAAAAAAAAAAGATTATTATGATTTGATTTTATGATTTGTTTTATCTTATTTTTTACCTTAGCCCTCTTCCTTGTTGCTCTGAACTCTGCTTTGTTCATGTTCTCAATCTTTGTTGTAATATCATCTTCCTGGGCCTCCTCAGTTCCTTCAGGAGGAACATTCACAGAGTTAGATTTAGATTCAAAATCTTCAAAAGTCTCAGGCATTGCTTCTGACTCTGTTACAGGTGCAGACTGAGCAACTGGATCAGGTTCAGATTCAGATGCAGGTTCTGTTTCAAGGCTGGACTCAGTGACAGGTTCAGTTTCAGCAGCTGGTTCAGGTTCGGACTCAGTTACAGGTTCAGGCTCAGCCACTGGATCAGGTTCAGACTCAGTTACAGGTTCAGATTCAGCAGCTGGTTCAGGTTCTGAAAAATCAGCAATACGTTCTGCCACAAGCTCCTCTACATCTACTACAGTGGCAGCCTTGGAATCTGAAGCTGACACAACCTGTTAAAGGAAAATCATTAAATTTTAAACATATAAATAATTTTGTGTGCAATTTTTACCTCTAGCTTTTCTATTCTGGCCTCTGCATCTTCAAGTCTCTTCTCTAGTTCAGATATTTTCTGACTTTGGGAGATATTATTTTGTGCCGAGGTAAGAAGTATTCTGAATAATTCTTCTTGATCTAGTTCTCCGGTTTTCTTTGTCTGCATCAGGTCCAAGATGGAGAGGGTATGAACAGTCTCGGATTCCTTTAAAGCTTCATCAGAGACAGAATCTTTGTGATCCTTTGCTGGGATATCTTCATTTGTGATTTCCTGAACGTTTTCTTCAGAAGAAATTTCTGATCCTGAAATCTCAGTTGATGAGAGTTCTGCCTCACTAACAGATGCTTCAAGTTCTGCAAGTTGTATTTGCTCAGGTGCTTCAGGCAGAATGATCTCCTTATTCAGCTCTTCAGTTGTTTTTTCAAGCAGTTTGATTAAATCCTTTTTATTCCCTTTAATTGGCAGATTTTTCTCCAAGCACAGCTTTTCCAAGTTTTTCTTAGTTAACTTTGTCAAATCCGTAGCAACAGATTCAGTTTCCACAGCTGTTTCAGGTTCAACTGCTTTTTCAGCTTCAACTTCAGCTATATCGGTTGGATCTTCTGTAATCTTGTCTGCTGCTTCAGTTTCAGCTGTATTAGGTTCATCACTGGATTCAGTTTCCTCCATTACTGTTGCAGGTTCTGAATTGGATACAGCTTTCTCTGTAGCTGTATGAGATTCAACTGCTGTTTCTGGTTCAGTAATGGATTCAGTTTCCTCTATAGCTGTTTGTGATTCAATTGGCGCTTCAGGTTCAGCAATAGATTCAGGCTCATCTGTTGCTTCAGATTCAGAAATTGATGCAGACTCTACATGTTCATCTGCTAGCTCATTGTCATCCTTGGGGACAGCAGAGCTTTTTTCAAGGGAAGCAATGAGATCCTTTTTATTGCCTTTGGTTGACAATCCTTTAGATTTGCAAAGCTTCTCAAGCTCTCTTTTTGTCATTGCATACAGATCTTGTATTGGTTCAGCTAAGTCGATTGTTGGTTCAGCTGTTTGCGCAAGTGTAGACTCAACAGCTGCTTCAACAATAGTCTCAGCCGCTATCTCATTTGCCTCTTCAGTTGCTGTATCAGCAGTAAGTTTAATTGATGTTTTGGCATCAGCTTCTTTTACAGATTCAGCATCAGCATCAACCCCTGTGTCATCAGTTGGACCAGCTGCTGATTCTTCTACAAGTATCTTTTCTTGTTCAATAACAGATTCATCTCCACCTGCATCGGTTTTTTCCGTTGAAGAATCAACGTCAGGTGATTCCACCGCATTTTCATTCTCAAGCTCAGTCATGGTAACAGGTTCTTCCATAGTTTCATTAATGGGTTCTGTGGCAGGTTCTTCAGGGGTAATTGGTTTAATGATTGAAGGATTATCTTCAGATAAAGCTTCTAGTCTGCTGATCAGATCTGTCTTGTTTCCTTTAACTGGCAGGTTTTTCTGTATGCAAAGCTTTTCCAATTCTTTTTTAGTCATTTCAGCATAATTCACACTCTCAGCTGGCTCAGTTGATTCTTTGGTGCACTCTTCTTGTGTGCCTGTAGATTCAGCATAATTCACACTCTCAGCTGGCTCAGTTGATTCTTTGGTGCACTCTTCTTGTGTGCCTGTAGATTCAACAGGTTCGATTGCTTCAGAAGATTCAGTAGCGACAGTAGCCTCAACAAGTGCATCAACTTCCATCAATTTGATTTCTTCTTCAACATCTTCAGCAGAGATAGCCTCTAGAGTTTGGCCTTTGGCCTTCTCCAGAGCAGCAACCAATTCTTTCTTGTTTCCTTTTGCCTCAATTTTTCTTTCCGCACATAAAGCCAAAAGTTCCTTCTTTGTAAGCTTGTTAAGATCTACATCAAGGGTATTCTCAACATCTTCAACACCTGTATCAATGAAATGTGAATTACCAGAAGCAAAACATTAAAATAATTATTATGATATGAAAGAAAGATATAATTGAGACCCTAATACAGTAAAAATATTTTATCAAAGGGTTCAAAGATAGTTTAAGATTACACTACCGGAATCAGAGTCGCTGAGTGCATCTTCTTTCTCACAAACTCGATCATGCTTCACCATTTTTGCATCGTTTTCAATCTTGTCCGCCTTCCTTTTTACAGCTTTTCTTACAGGCATCTTTTTAGTAAGTATTGGTCCTGCAAGCATATTATTTTTTGTAAATTACCCTTCATGGAGGCCTTCAACAGTTGACAACAATGTTTTGTTGCTTCAAAGAAACTTAGTTTTTGTCGCAAACTCAAATTTGCTAATCCCTACATCTTTGCAACCTGATGGTGTAAACTGTTAATATTTTATAGTTTGACATATCAATGGTTTAGTACATTGGGTTGTTGGGTTGCAAAGATTTAGCGATTACGAAATTAGAGTTTGTGGCAAAAAAGGGTACAAATGTTAGTCGTTGATGCCACTCCTTTAAATGAAGGATTACGTAAAATTCTATTGATACTCCAAACAGAGATTAAAAAAAATGTTTTTCTAAATACTTTTTAAGGGGCTGTGTAAGCATAATTTTAAGTGACCCTCCGTGGAAAAATGGCATGGTTTGATTAACAATGGTACCCTTGAAAGCCTTGTCTAATTAAGCATAAGTTAGATTTTACTATGGTTTCCCTACAAAATTGACTTGCACATTTCTACTCAGAATTGAGTAACTTTAAACCTAGAAAACTTTAATTTTAAAATTTGCATGAAGGGTCTCTTTAAATTACGTTTACTGTCCCTTTCATGGCGAGGAAAATTATTTTTAAAATTCTTTTAAAGATATTTTTTTATGTATCCAATTTTTGATCTCACCTGTTGGATCCAACGAAAGGAAGAGGTTTCTGACGAATTCCGTGATTGTCTGAAACCCTGACAGTTAAGTCAAGGATCGGGGTTCAAGACAAGTCTGTGCTTGAAGACGGCTAGCAACAAACTATGGTATGGTCCCCCTCCGGTTCATTGCAGTGCGTTTTCTCTGTCTCGTTTTAACTTGGCTCCCCTCGGTCGTAAAATCTGTCTAAAATGCAAAATAAAGCTCTTAAAACTTCGGCGACCGAATTCGGTGTCTCGACTCTCAAGGTTACGCAATTTGGGTATTATGTCGGTTGAAAATATTATGATGAAAAATATATCCACGTATTCTTTAGTTTTCTGGGGATATAAATTAAATGATGTATGTTAATAATCTTTTATTAAAAATTGGCAACCTAAACGATAATGGACATTGGACCATGGGTCCAAATTTACAGTTCAACCCCTTATTGGTAAAAGCTCGCTCTATAAAGGAATTCAAATGTTAAAAAATTTACAAATTAAAAAATCTGTTATTTTAAGACTTTCTTGGATTTTTTTATATGTTAGATATTTTAGCTTTTATCATTGGTTGCCACTTTTAAGTTAGAAAGAAGTGGCGCAAAGCGGTCTGACTTCAAGCATATCAAGTAGTAATCTCTGTTTGTTTGTATGTACGATCATAATTCAAATGTTGGTGGGGTAACTAAGCTTGGTTCTAAGTTGAGTATGTGGACTTTTTCAGGGAAAGTTAAGTGTTCAGGCAAAGCTGGGTTTCCAAGAAAGGGTTTTATATTCTAGCACCCAGCGAATAATTAGTTATTTATTGTAAAGATTTATTCACGCAAAGATATAAATACGTATATAAATAATGTAGTTTAATTTGTTTAAATAGATTCTTGAAAGTAGCTTTACAAAAGAAAAAAGAAAAATATGCAAAAATGCTTAAATAGGCGACATTGATCATAACTCCTTACTTAACATGTTTATCATTTCTTATAAATTATTCGTTCTTGTATAATTTAAAAGTTCTTGAAAAACCAGAACTTTCCATGCATGGTTCAATGGGACATCAAAATACTTTATTTGTTTCTTAACTAACATTTTACTAAGATTTACAGAACAATCATTTGCAATAGAAAATAAAATTTCTGCTAAGAACTGTGTTAAGGTCATTTTTGCATAAATTAGGAAGAAATCTAATGCAAAGCTTAGAACTTGCTTCAATAGTCTCATAGAAAGACACACATCTGCTAGCTAACATAGTTTTTACGTGTAAACATTGTGAAATACTTTCAATCAAGTACCTATGCGTATCTCTAGGTACATTAAAAAGAATTCTAATAGCAGTATTCCATGCTGTATACAATTTATACAGTTATTCCCACATTTACCCGCGCATTTTAGTATGTTACGATAATTTAACTATTTTTTCCCGTTAAAAGTGGACTCTCATGTTTTAGAATCTCAAAACCAGAAAAGAACATTCACGTGGGATTCCTGAGTTCCCATCAAAATTTTGATGCAAGTTGTTCTAAGGGTTCCTGAGTTATGATCGGACAAACAAACCAACAGATATTAAAACTTTATATATATAGACTAGACATGAATCGACTATTGAAAAGTGTGAACGGATGATATTACAGTTATATAACTAAACATAGGATTGATGCGTAGAAAGGAAAGCTGCAAACTAGGAATTATAAACTCTACTGTATTATATAAAAGACCGGGAGCGGGGTATTATAAAATCAGCGAAAACCTTCGGGGACTCGGGGTTAACACCGTTCAGTGAGGGAGGGGGTGCAGGGTCGCCATGAGCCCCGCAAAGTCTCTTATTCGTAAATAAGTATTTAAAATAACCTGGCGCCACTCCTAAACGTTAGAATAGATATTATAGAAATACTAAATAATATCTTTAAAAGGAAATATTTAATTAATGGTTTTGCAGTACTTCTTTGAATATTAAAAAAACATTGTCTATTATAACATTAAATATTTTTTATAAACATTTTCATCACTTCTATACTATCGATTCTAAAGGATAGGGGTAGTGGCAGGTCTTTTTTAATACTCATCTGCTAATGCAGAGGCTTGGAGACTTTCGCGCAGAGCTCATGGCGTCCGGCACCCCCTTCCTCATAGCTCATAGTTCAGCACCTTCGGAAACATTTTCATTCGAATTCTGAATTAATTTAATATCTAAAATTTATGATTAGTAAAATTACCTTTAACAAAATAAGTAAAAATAAAATAAGTAGACCTCCTAGGGTTAGAGAAATTGTTATTACACACCCCTATTCAACTATCAATCCCAAGGTTATAATGCATTAAATAAACTTGATCACTCCAACCAAATTGAAAATAATTTTTTTTAAATTTGAAATCTTGCAAATAACTCATTTTTTTGAGGAGCTTGTTTTTTTCTTTCTGCCCACGTTTTGAGACGAAAAACATTTTTTTTCAAAACAACGACATTTCAAAATGATCGTCTTTTGAAATTCACCAAAACGACAACTTTTAGATTTTAAAAAGCATTTGAAAAAATAATGGCCACAATTTTACAACCTTATGTTTGATTTTTGCATTTTATTTAGCCCAGTCAGATTGGTGTGAATAAAAGAAATTGAGTCTTTGCCAAAGGAATTGAGTTTTTGCCACAATTAACTCTGATATTTAAATATCTTTAAATATCTTTAAGTGTGGAAACGTTTCCTGTCCTAGCCGCAGCGCTTGGATTATATCCTGAAGAAAAATTATTTAAAAGCTTAAAAATGGAATCAGGGTTGCCAAAATGACCGGATTTTTTTTTACCAAAAACTTGTACGGATTGTTCGGAAATTGTTTTAGATTTTACGGATTTTCAGGATTTTTATTTTTTTATTTTGACTCATACGAATCTAATTTTTGCATGACAATTTGATTTTAAAAAAGTCTTGTTTAAATGAAGTTAGTTTAACTTATTATCTTAATTCCCAAATATATTTTACGTTGATTGTTGTTTCAATTGACAAAAAAATTCATTCTTTCATCTTTTCGAGAATTTGTTCCAGAAATTTTTTTTTAGAAAATGTTCCAGAAGTGTTCATTCGAGAATGTGTTCCAGAAGTGTTCATTAGAGAATGTGTTCCAGAAGTGTTCATTTGAGAATGTGTTCCAGAAGTGTTTATTAGAAAATGTATTCCAGAAGTGTTCATTAGAGAATGTATTCCGGAAGTGTTCATTAGAGAATATATTCCAGAAGTGTTCATTAGAGAATATGTTCCAGAAGTGTTCTTTCGAGAATGTGTTTCAGAAGTGTTCTTTCGAGAATGTGTTTCAGAAGTGTTCATTCGAGAATATGTTCCAGAATTGTTTATTCGAGAATGTATGTGTTCCAGGGTGTCCTATACAAAGAACTTTCCAGAATGCGTATTGGGTATTGAGGGAACAATTTTCGCTAAATTTTCACAGTCAATGTGTCATTGGAAAGCTCTAAATTTTAGTTACTTTTAGGTGAACATTTTTTCTTTCTAGGCCACAATCTTTTTAGTTTAATTCAGTGTAAGCCAAAAGTCTCAAAATCTAAATAAGTTGAATTTTTTTCCCAGATGGGTTGCATCGAATATTTTTAAATGAAAACGCCAGCTGTGAAATAATACAAAATTATTGATTATTGAAATTATTGAAATTATTATTGATTGATTTTTTAAAAATCTAGTTTTACCGATTGATTTTTGAAAAATTAGCTATTTTTTCGACTGTGCTAAGTTCGTATGTTGTCAGTACAAACTGATTTATTTTTTAAATGCTTTTTTTATTTTTAGATTTCTCTGCTCAAAAAATAATTATCGCTGATAAAAAATGTTAGCGTACAAAGAAACCTCAGACAAATGGTTTACTTTTTTAATTCAGAAATTCTGTCAATTTGTTCATAATTTATGAACAAATAAAAATAGAAGTTATTATAACATAAAAAGTATGAGGCCCAGAAAGAAAAATAATTCAGTTTTAAGTAACTTAAATACAGAGCATTCTAATGACACCTTGAATGTGAAAATAAAACGAAAATTGTTCCCTCAATACCCAATACCCCTACTGCATAGTTTTTTAGGACAAACTGCATCATTTGAGATTATGTTCAAGAAGTATATATTCCAGAAAAAATTCCCGAACTGTTCATTCGAGCAAATAAGATCCAGAAGTGTTCATTCAAGAATATGTTCCAGAAGTTTTCTTTGAGAATATGTTCCAGAAGTTTTCGTTGAGAATATGTTCCAGAGGTTTTCGTTGAGAATTTGTTCCAGAAGTTTTCTTTTAGAATATGTTCCAGAAGTTTTCATTCAAAAATATGATGAATGGTTTGGTATTAGGGTTCCATCATTTTATATCTTCTTCCTTTTATTTTAAATTTAGATTAGATTTTGAATTGTTCGAAAAAAAGTACAAAGAGTCTGACTTTAAAAAGTTAAAACCAGCCAAAGCTTTCATGTCTAAGCCCTGACTTAACAGAAATAATTGTAGATTTCTTGTTTGTTTGTTTGTCATATTAATATTATAAACATGCCCTAAAAACATAGGAACATCGAATTCTTGTGATATTTTACATGTTATAAGATTTTCGAAAAGTGGTCTGCCTTTCTTGTATCTTTACAATTGAAAATTATTAATCAAAGACGATCTTAAAGTCGTCATTTAATTCACATGTTATTTAGGAACACTCTGTAGAACGTGCAGAAGATCTAACAAAATCTTTTATAGAATTTTAAGGTCAAGGATTACTTAATTAATACAGGACAGAGGCGTATTCAGGGGGAGCTATGGGGGCTAACACCCCCCCCCCCTGTACCAGTGAAATATGTATGGATTTCAGGCCCCAACAGGTACGAGCCCCCACAAACGTGTAAAGAAAAAAAAATTAAGCCCCCCTTTGGAAAAATTTCTGAATACGCCCCTGACAGAGGGCTATTAACTAATGCTAAAAAATGAGTTTTCAGCTTAGACAAAAACCCAACTAATTCAGAGAAAAGTGCAAACATAAAAAGCAAGCAGATTTTTTAATTTGTATTTTTTTTCCCTCGGGATTTATGTTTTCATCCGGTTCTATCATCTTTATCATGGCTGTACACTGCCCAGTGCAGTATACAGGTAAATTTTGTTTCAGATTTTAAAAAAAATTAAGGTCAGCCTTTGCTAAAAAGGTTTTAGCGTCACAACTTGGAGAATGAATGATAAAAGAAATGAAAAATTAAATGTTTTAATTTTGGATGTTTTCTTTCCAAAAATTAAATTTCTTTTCGTTTTTTTTTATGGATTGTACGGATTTTTCATCATAAATATACAGGTTTTATCATAAATATACAGGTTTCATCATAAATATACAGGTTTCATCATAAATATACAGGTTTCATCATAAATATACAGGTTTCATCATAAATATACAGGTTTTATCTGAAAATGTACGAATTAAAAAAAATTTGGCCTCCCTGCAGCTTGCTTGAAACCTTAATCTGTTCTTTTTATATGAAATCTTTAATAAGATATTTTGGAATAATTTCAATTCCTTGTTAACTTCTAATACTAACTAAAGCATATCAAACTAATTATTTTTGATTACCCTTGAAACTTGATTAAAATTAATTATTTAAATTTTATGTAGGAATTGCTGTAGGGTTTTAGAGAAAATTTAGGCACCTTAATTAAATATTGTTTTGTTTAAATCGACCAATTAAAGCGAAAGGTGGCTATGTCCCATTTACAATGGTACTCTCAAAAGGTTTGTCTGTCAGTATAAATTAAATATCAATGTTTATGATTTTTTTTTATCTCATGTTTTCAATTGAGATTCACTACTAAATATTTAGGTTTTTATACTATGCATTTTTACGTTTCTTTCTTTATCTAAAAAATGTGTT